CCATTCCATTCGTTTGTCGATTGTTCAATCAACCTCGTGCCGTGCGATGCAATATCCCATTCCTTTCCTAGGCGAATTGCTCAATGAACCTCGTGTCGTGTCGTGCCGTGCCGTGCGATGCAATATTCCATTCCATTCCTTTGTGAATTGCTAAATAGACCTCGTGCCGTGCCGTGCGATGCAATATCCCATTCCATTCCTTTCAACCTCGTATCGTATTCCATTCCATTCCATCCCATTCCTTTCCTTTATGAATTGCTCGGTCGAACTTGTGACAAAACGAAACCACGCAATCCGTCTCCCGATACAAGTGATCGATCCAGCCACGCGATCGGCCATCCGTACATCCTCTCGGACCTCGATCGACCCTGTCCGACCCGATCTGTTTCCACCCTCGTTCCCTGACTCGGAAATTTCTCCCGATTTCGTCGCTGGATGCTCTGCACTGCACTGCACTGCATTTGCTCTGTTTTGATGCCATTCGATTCCATTTGCGACGCGACGCGACGCGATGCGTTTCATTTCTATGAATTGCGATGCATCGGTTGGATTGGACACGCAAACAATGCGGCGTGGTGGGATGCGATTCGCCCCTCCCAGCAATCGCTCGCTCTCCCAACGAGCAAACCCCGGGCCCGCTGTCTGTTTCTATCGCTCGTGCCTCGCGCACGATTCGAAACCAATTCTGCCATCGGGACTGTTACGGAAGAATCGAGGGGAGCCCTGTTCCTGTTCGGTGCTGCTGCTGCTGCTGCTGCTGCTGCATCCCGCCGTTCCTTTGCTTCCCCCGAGGCGATCGCCACTCCCGTGGCCCACGGCCGGGCGCGGTCCTTCCGAGACGGGAAGCATTCCGGCAACCAAACCCGGATTCCCTTGTCCGGTCGTTTCGTCGGAAAGCCAATGGCATCGCATCGCATGATGTCTGAGGGCACTGCCGCATTGGACCACACGACAATGCGAATCGTGCGAGAAGGAGCAATGGCGTCGAACCGAACGAACAAACCAAAAGGCAACCCGAGTTCTTTGTGAACGGCACGGTTCTTGTACGCACAGTAGCGTGGTGTGGTAGAAGAAAAGTTCTTCGAATACAAAACGAAGAGACAACCATCGGGTGGAAACGTTGTGGCCAATCCATCCATCAGATCATCACGAAAAAACAGAAACAATCACCACAACATAATTTACGCAATGTTGTTTCAGAAGATGCCTCGAAATCAATCACAAAACTTTTTCCCAGAAAAAAAAACATCAGTCATTGCTTTTGATCGATGGTGATTGGTGCATTCGACTTCCGGGATTCTCAGGGTACTATTTTACGTACCATACGTACGGTATTGTGAGCATTGCTTTTGGTTCATGGTCGCGGTCAAAATTCACAAGGGACAGCAGGAACCAGTGATAATTCTTCACTCATGAGAAGCAACAGAACCCCGGAGTATCCGGGAATGAAATAAATAAGTCCCGTACATACCGGACAACTCCGCATACCATGGCTCCACGTTGAACAGTCGTCATTCGATCGAAGACAAGAACAAGAACAACACCCTTTTTCTTTCTGCTCTCGGAACAAGATTTTTCCCCCCCGAGAACAACCGAAGGTTGCCAAATCGAATCGAATCAAATCAAATCGAATCGAATCGAGCATCGGACCGGGAGCAGAACACACATTCCCTCCGGAGCGAGACGACAACGCACGCAAAGCAAGAACAAGAACAAGACTACCAACCGCAAAGAATTTCGCAACAATGGCCTCTCACGGAAACACAAGGCGGCAAACGGTGAACGGCCTGGCGTTGCTCACGGTCGCAACACTGCTGGCGGTCCTTTCGTCGTCCCCGTCCGCTGCGGCCTTTGCCACCGGCCCCGCGCTGCCCCAGCAAAGGCTCTGTCAACAGCAACAAAAGCAGCAACAGCAACAACACCGCCGGCCCGCCACCACCTCCCTCCGCATGGCCCCGCCGGGATCCTCCGTCCTCAAGCCCGCCGCGGGGCCCCTGATGGACTCGGGAAAGGCCCTGGCCCGGAGCGGCGAGCTCCTCATCGACTTTACCCGCACGCTGGACCTCTACGGGGGCGCCCTCTCGAACGCGGGCGCCCAGATCCGCAACGCCGGCGACTCGCTGGCCCAGGCCGGGGCCAGCTGCCGCTTCAAGACGGGCCTGGAGCTGGTCATCGACGAGCTCCGGGAGGCCGCGGCCTGCCTGTCGGAGGCGACCGACAAGCTGGAGCTGGCCACCGAGGAGGCTTCCGCCGACGGGGACCCCCTCCTGGAGGAGAAGGTGGCGGCCCTGGTGGGCCCTTCCCGGGTCTGCGCCGCCAGGCTGGAGCAGGCCGGGGCGGGCCTCCTGATGCGACAGGGCCTCCCGGAGGTCGGGGCCGCCATGGTGGACGCGGCCGGGGGGATGGGGGGCCTCTCGGCCGGCATCGGGAGCCTGGCCGAGGCCCGGTCGGGGGACGCCGACGGGACCCTCTCGGCGCAGCGGATGGCCTATGCGGCCGAGCGGCTGGGCAGGGCCGGGACCGAGCTCAAGGGGGAGGTCGACCCGGCCAAGAAACCCGAGGGGCGGGCCTTTCTCAAGGGCGGCGGCTTCTAGGGGGGCGAGCGAGCCCACCGGAACCGCGAAACTTCTTGCCCCACCGGAGGTTCAAGAAGCAAATGTCCGAGCTTCGGTTCTGGTGCTCATCCTTCTGCACAAAACCGACTCGAAGCATGATCGATGCAATAGCTAGCAATAGTACTTGTAGTATGTGCACACCAATGGTAGTGATTCTTTTACCAACACTGCATCTGTGTCAAGCCATAATGCAATGGAAATCCATCACTGAACTTTTTTGTTGTGTAGATATTGCATACTACTAGACAGTAATCTTTTTTCAATACCTACAATGCAAATCTTGATCTGTGATATCAATAACCAATAGAGTACATCAACAACGATAGAGAACTACTAGTACATCTGCCCAATGAATTTGTTCCATAAATTGAATTACTCACTAGCATTAAACACTGATGTTGCTAGCATGATACTACAACTCCTGCTCTTCTGTTTCCTCATGTGCAATGATCAAGAACAATGATAGAAAGGACTCACTAAAACTCAATTTTGCTCTTGTGAATTGTGGATCAACCAGCATGAAGTTCAAATCTGTCAATACTAGTACTAACACTATTTACTACTTGTTCTGTTGCTACTACTACTACTACTACTACTACTACTACTACTAGCAGTAGCTGTTAGTATTTCTTGGAATGTTACTACCCCAGTAGCAGTAATCAGAACTTGTAGTAAACCACTACTACTACTACTACTAGTAGTAGTAGTAGTAGTAGTAGTAGTAGTAGTAGTAGTAGTAGTAGTAGTAGTAGTAGTAGTAGTAGTAGTAGTAGTACCCAGCACTGTGGTTCTCAATCAAGAATGATAGTTAGTAGTAGGTAATACATAATACTACAAACTACTTCAACCTTTTTGTTTGGTGTCCCAAAAAACTGATTGTCTCTAGTTTACTTGTTTAGTTCAGTTTACTTGTTTAGTTCATGTATTTAACAGTTGGTGGCTTGAAGATTTAAAACATGACTTATTACTAGTAGAATGTTTAGAATTAGTAGTAGTACCAGTTTTGGTAGTAGTAGTATAGAATACTGGAAGCACATTATTGAATGATGTACTCTCCTGCAAGAATGAAGATGGAAAAGTGCTGCAACTCTTTTTGGAACTAGACTCATGAGCACCAGTATTTTCCTTTCAGAAAGCAATGACAAGAAAAAAGAAGATCATCACCACTACTTTGTCAAAAAGGCTGTTCCAATACTTATGCTGGTATTTTTCCTTTGAGAAAATAATGGCAGGCAGGAGGGAAGAAAATCATTACCAGCAGTAGTACCAAGTAGTAACTAAGAAAATATTGCTCTATTTGGTGGTGCTTGATGATGGTACTATGATACCAAAAAAACCCAAATGCTGGACAAAAGGAATGATGTGTGGTCAGGTGAAAGAGGAGTAGCATAGTAGTATTCTTCTTGAAATTCTTCTTCCTCATCAATTCAAATTCCTTGTTGCTTCTTCTAAAAAATGGGTGGACACACAAGATGAATTGTAGTTCCATGACATCTTACTATCGTAGCCACTTCTGCTTGTTTTCACTTGGAACTCTCACTCTGGTAAAACACAAAAACAAGAGTGAATGGTGAGAAGAATTCCTTCTAGTATTTGTCAAACAAGAGTGAATGGTGAGAAGAATAACTTTTAGTATTTGTCAAATAATTAGTGCAAAAGACTGTACTAACAACTGCCAGCATCTGATTTCAATTTGACAAAACTTGATTTTATATGATAGTAGCATTTGATGATTCATGCAATGCTTCAGTGCTTCCATCACCATGTTCTTACAAGACTGAATCCCTGCTGTGAGACCTGCTATTTTGGTACTACAAGCCAAGATTGAGTTTTAAGAAAAATTCCTTGGTGCTACTGCTCATGCTGCTCTGACAATATCAGAATTTCTGTTGCAAGACTGAATGCATGTTAATATTAATTGTGAGAGAACTAAGAATGTGTTTTGCAACATCATTTTGAAAAATTGTGCATCACTCAAATAAATCAAACAACCAGTAGCCACCACAGCAAGAACTACAAGGATGAAAATGAATCACAAGAATTCAAGTCCTTTTGTACATCTAGTAGTGAGACCACCAGGAAAGAAAGCAGAAGTAAGAATATTGTGCTGGTTCCTGGCTGGTGAAGAGATACTAGCCAATGGATCTAGTGACAAGAATAATGATGCCTCTTGCAGCCTTTGCTGCTGATAGCTATTAACAGCACAGAGCACAAGAAGTACCCTTCTATACTAGTACTAGTAACCATATATATTGGAAGGGTGTCATAGTAGCCTGCAGGATTGACTATCTAATAGTAGTGATGTAAATTGAATGGGAGAAAAAAAGCAAGTTGATGCTTTTATTGAAAATAGTACTTATCATAGATATAGATCATACCCACAATATGATATCAGCAATTGATGTGAGAGTAAATCATGAGTACTATTACTAGCTAATGAATGGCCTCACTATTCTTATTGTATGGATTGGGTGAAAAAATGTACAATCCAGCAGTCATATTACTAATATATGATAATAAAGCCACTACTAGTAGTACTACTAACATTCAATTATACTAACAGCCCCACTTTGACCCCCACACAAAAAGTTTCTTTCTCTTTGTACTAGTACTAGTTTTCACTTTGTTGTACTACTAGTAGTAGTTCATACCTGTTTGTTAGAAAAATCTTCTTGCCAGGGGTAACATGCTGTCTTAAACATCTCTTCTTGTTAAGAGGAGCATATTATTGCTAAATTCCAACCATCTACAAAATTGTCCTTCAATGATGATGTCTCAACTCTCTCCTCCAATACAAACACAGGACAACAAGCCATTGAATCCCAACCCAAAACTTGAAGAAGTCATCGTCATTTCTTGTGTGAAAAAGCAATATTTTTGACAATATGAGCTGACCCCAAATTTTTTGAAACATTCTTACAGCACCAGCAAGAAGAACAAACAACAACAACACCAAGAAACCACACCACAGCATCAACCCAAATAGTACCAACAACAAGAACCCAGCCACAGCACCTTTCTTGGATTTCTCTTTATTTTTTAGTAGTAGGAGTCTTCATTTGTTAGTAGTATTACTAGGAGTACTTATCAGTCTACTACAAGAAATCACCCTGCCAAGAACTTGTTGGGCATATTTGAAAGAAGAAGAACCATTGCAACCCTCAGAAAAAATAATTTCTTAACACTAGTAGTGCAAGTAGTAGAAGCCAGGGATCTTCTCAGATCCAAATGGCTCTCATCACATTCATGCATTGTTCATTCTTGGGTTATTTTATGGACTATCGCCGTGTTCAAGGTGTTATGATACCGTACGTAAGGTATGATACCAATCTGAAACGGTAATAGAGTGTTGCAATGATATCCAAATACGATCCAGAAACAAACTAATTTTACTCTGTACCATGCGTATGTACCTCGAAGTACTACGAAGTACTGAAGAAACACAAACCGTGGCCACCTATGTGACAGGGGCAATTGTATATTTGGTTTCATTTGATGATCTGATTGGCTGATTAGTACTTCATCGTTTGTATCGATGACTGTTCCACATGAACAGACCCTCAAACCGATCACTGGCGGAAAGTTCCCAATTAAGCGATCAATGGTTAAGATTTATATTATTATTTTTACCATTTTGTTTTCTGAAAATAACATCTCATGTTTACTTTACGTAATTGCCTACGTTAACGGGACTAGTATCGGCGATATTTTCCTACCGTGCGCGATATGGGCGATTCCAAAGTATATTCAAAACTACGTACGTACGCCAGGTACAAAATGCCTCCGATTGTAAAGTTGAGGGTTAGCGATCTGGGACCGTGACAACACGAAAACGGCGAAAATGATGCCAAGAATTTTGCTCTCCTCATCGAAATCTTTCTTTATTCCATCCTCACATAATTTCGATACATATTCGACAACAAAAGCTGCTTGCACCCAACTGTACACTATTCAGATTCATTGTTACCCTGATAACAATTTTATCAAGTTTCACGTCACTTCCCATCGACATCAATCGCTCCAACATTTAATTCAATCATGACTATCAACAAGTTGGTATTGCTACACACTATGGGTTCATCTTCCGATGCTCTTCGATCAAAAAAAGTCTTGGCAGAGAGGAAGCAAATGCTGAAGAATGGGCTCGGGAACGAAGAACTGCTTCGAGGTCGGGCGCTAAGCAGATTACCAAACATTGATTTGCAAAATAGTAGTAGTATCTCAGATGATGACGACGACATCGAGATCACAAACGCTCCATCATTCTCCTCTATCTCGACAGCTGAATCTATCACATCGGCACCTGAAAGCCGTCGTTTCCGTGGTCGGTCCTTGTCATGTGTGGAAAGGATAAGAAGACCGAGGAACACGGACTTTGCCGATACAATTTTCTCGGTTGGTAGTTCAGCGTCCGCCCCTGAGCTTTCGATTGAAGATGGAACATATGCCCTTCCTAGCGCCACAATCAGCAATCTGTTTCAAAAATCAGCACCGACTACGAATGGAAGAGGCGGAGCTCTGGTGAAGAAACTTATCGAAGAGCAACAAGCCAAAGTATGCCATGACAAAGAAGACGATTGCGAGAAAGAAGAGGCAGAGCAGGACCTAAGGGCCATCTACCAAAGGTACCTGAGCGGAGAAAAGGAATCCGTTCTCCGGTCGGGCTCTCAGTGGACGTCAGGATATGGAGATAGAAGACGACAGCGTGCTCATTTGCTGCGAAAGAAAATTTCAAGAAATGCAGCAGACGGGAAAAATCCAGCTGAAGTCGGCGAAGAACTAACCGCAGTTGAAAGACGAAATCGAAAAACACTCATCCCTGTTGAAGAAATGGCTACCGATCACCATTCGAAAATATTGAAGCAAAGAAGACGCGCTCGCTATTCACTCTAACAAGCGCAATTCCACGGCGATGGTGTCTACAAATCACTGTCCGAAATTGGGAGTGAGGCCCATGCGAACTGCAGGATGTATGATCACCTTCAAACGAGTGCTTTTCCCGGGACCCATCAATATTTTCTTTTTAGATCAGACCATTCAAGCCAACCGTGCGGCTCACTTGGTTTGACAATGTTGGTTTCTCTCTTGGCCACATTGGTCATTCGTGTGACTTGATAGCTTTGAGATTACCGCGTCTGAAAGGAAAAATATTGTTGGATTGAGTCACCTCCCACTGTCATTATTTTATTATTCATTTTAGCTCGGTTGCGTGCATGACAAGTGGTGTGGCAACTTCTCGGAAGCCAATGTCGTTAGCCACACCTGTGCTTTTAGATAGGTTTGATAATAGTTTTAGTAACAATTAGTAGTTATCTCCCTCAAAAAATCACATCCTGGCTAAAACTCTAGTAGGCGTTTTTGACAGTTCCTTGGCATTATCACCTCCGGGAAGGCCATCATCGTCGTCGTCATTATCTGAATTATCTGTTCCATCTGGAGTTATGTCCCATATGAACCAACACTTTTCGTATCCGTCACAGTCTCGCGGATCGCCCTTTCCGTCCCAATCACTCTGACGGGTCAGTGTGATTCGATAATATCGTGAGTCGACCTTGACGCGCGCGAATTTCGTCAACAAACGGCCCTTGGCTGGATTTGGATCTCCAACGATGCCCAAAACACTCCATCGATTGTGATTCAGTAGACCCTGCGAGTGTCGCTGGGTTAGAAATTCAGTCATTGCCCGGTGTTTGCGGGCCGCAGAAGGGTCGGATTCTCTTGCGTCCCTGCGGGCGGCATTGTCGATGTCCAGTTTTCGGGCTCTGCTGAACAAGTGATATATGGAGGGCAGTTCACCATCTTTCATGGCGTCCAGCTGAGCTTCCAGAACTCGGATAGGCGGCGTGTCAGGTGACGGAAATTTCTTTGCGGGTGAAGAAGCAGAAAATTCTGGACCTTTGGATGACTGCTTGTCAACCGAAAAGGATTCGGTAGGTTCTAATAAAACGAAAAGCGATACTGAAATCAATATCATAGCGTAGAGACGCATCATCATCGAGGTTGTCTATTCCAGTAAGCGCATTGACTGTATGAGGGCAGTTGTGCCATATGGTGGCAAAACATGGTCGGCGTCAATTAATTGTTGATACGCATCGTAGTGTCGATCGGGCTAAACTTCCCAAAGCACCACCAGCCGTGATCGTCAATCATGTCGAAGGCAGCGCAATCGACTCGAAAAAGATACCACAAAAACCACATGAAAACGGTAAACAGGTGAAAACTGTCCCTGTCGTCCTTCACCGTACGCACCGTACCTACCGTACGGTGCTACGATATGATAGTTACAATGAAGATCAGAGATCTCCATTCCTGTTTTTACGTCACAGACGTGACTAAAAAAGGTATCTAGTGACGACTCGCTGTCACTGGATGGCCCTTGTTTTTCTGATGAGAACCCCACGCGCCACCTGGAACAAAAAACTGTTCAGACGTGGATAAGGGAGAATTTTTGCAAAAAATAAATCGTCAGATGATGTCTGCCAAAACACATCATTCAGCGTCACTTCACTCTCCTCGCCGCCCATCAATTACGAGAAACGTACGTAGCGGCCATCATCTGACCGTTTTTTAGTCGACTGGTTTTAAGGATTCTTGAAACTACCCTGCACTTCGCATCCCCTTCCTGTCTCATACCTTAATACTCCCTTCGATTCTAGAACGCAATACACTAAGATGAAGATCGTTAGCAGCCTTGCCTTTGCCGCCTTCTTGGCTACCACCGAGGCCTTTGGACCCGCCCAGCCATTGAAGGGAGTTGTCTCAAACGGTGCCGCTAACGGCATGACCATGAGATACGGTATCAAGGACCAAGCTCTTCGAGGACGAGTTTGTGCCATCGTCGATGCCAACCCTACCAAGGAAATTGTCGAAGAGGAATTGCTCAGTGATTCCATGTCCGAGGCAATCAAGGGCGCCAACTGGAAGCTTCGAAAGGCCCTCATCCGCAAGGTTACGAACCAGGCTGCACGATACGATGTTGCCGTCGACCCTGCCTTCGGAAAAGCGTAAGTAGAGAGAAAACATATTGATACATCGCGTGCCAATTGATAATAAGCGGTGACAAAAGTTAGTATTGAAACTCAGCAACAAATTAGATTGAAGAAACAGTTACAAGAAACGAGTAGATAGACAAGAATAGATGAAGAAACAATTAGGAACAGATCCTATATATCCCGGCTGCTCGTGCACGGTACGCGCAATTGAAATAGTACACGGAAAATAATGTCATCTCACACGACTTTTTGTCTGGTCTTCACCAAACGCATCGAAATGCCTAACGATTCCCGTCCAATGCATCGACAGTGACACCCAGGCCGAACGTGAAGCAAAGGAAGCTGTAGCCGGAGCCGCCAACAAGGCTGCCAAGGTCGCTGCCATCAAGGCCGCCGCCGACGAATTCGCCGCTAACCAGGCCGCCCGAAAGGAACGCCGTGCCGCACACAAGGCCCGTGCCGCCGAAGCCCTCGCTGCCCGCAAATCCGGAGCTCCCGCCCCAGCCGCTGAAGAAGCCGCCGCACCTGCCCCCGCTGCCGGAGGTGAAATCACACCCAAGACCATCAAGGCCCTTCGTGACCTTACTGGTGCCGGTATGATGGACTGCAAGAAGGCCTTGACCGAATCCGGAGGTGACCAGGAAGCCGCTGCCGAATTCCTGCGCAAGAAGGGATTGGCCCAAGCCGACAAGAAGGCCACCCGTGTTGCCGCCGAGGGTAAGATTGCTGTCAGCACCGGAAGCGACGGAAAGGCTGTCATGGTCGAGGTCAACTGCGAAACCGATTTCGTAGGAAAGGATTCCACCTTCTTGGCATACTGCGACCGTGTTGCGGGAGCCGCCTCTGCCTCCGGAACCGTTGTCGTCGATGACTTGATGAACGAAGAAGTTGACGGAGAGAGCCTCGAGGCCACCAGACAGGCCCTTGTTTCCAAAATTGGAGAGAACATCCAGGTCCGACGATTGGAATCTAGGGGTGATGGATCCACCACCGTTGGTGGATACGTCCACATGGGAACCATCGGTGTCCTTGTCGAAATCGAAGGAGGATCGGAACAACTGTGTACTGATATTGCCATGCACGTTGCCGCCATGAACCCTCCATTCGCCACTGCCGATGATGTCCCACAAGAGGTCCTCGATAACGAAAAGCGAATTCTGACAGAGCAAGCCATTGAAAGCGGAAAGCCGGAAGCAATTGTTGAAAAAATGGTCGAAGGACGAATCCGCAAATTCCTCGAGGAGAAGTGCCTTGTGTCACAGAACTACGTCAAGGACAGTGATTTGACCGTTCAGCAACTCCTTGACAAGAATGATGCCAAGATGATTGGATTCTCCCGATTGGTCGTTGGAGAAGGAATTGAAAAGAAGGTCGACGATTTCGCGGCCGAGGTTGCCTCTATGGCAGCTGGAAACTAAATTTCCACTAGCGCACACGGAATCGAAGCCCACGACCACCCTACAATCATCAATAAAACTCTAGCAATGACACATAATTGTAAAAAAAGTATTTTATTTCAAATATTTCATACATTCTTCGCAACGCGTCGGAAAAAGAACATTTTGTTTTTGCAACGTCCTATACCATACCTTGCTGTACGATTCTTTTCTATTGGAAGTGCGTTACAGCATCGCCAGCAACTTGATTTTCTTCGTTTTAAAGCAGTCGAGGCTTCTTCTTCTCACGGGAGTCAATCATATCTTCCTGTTTGTTGCAAAATTTGATGTACTTCCAAGCCAGGTTACCCCAATGAGAAGGATCCGCCAACGACATCGGCATTCTCACTTTGGTAATGGCAGCGTTGTCTGTTCCATTGGTATCGATCACATCGCTTAATAGCAAGTCAAATCGATTCTTCGATTGGGATTCACTTTTCTTTGATTTCTTTGTGCCATATATATTGATGATAGCATCCTTGTATGAATGTGAAAGAATGAACTCGTTTAATGCTGTATCGTCATCCTGATTTCCCGTAAATTTGTCGGAAGAAAGCGTCCCGACAGGGGAAGAATAAAAGAAGCTACGGTACCTGAGAAGCGCCGCCTCTAGCTCTAGTTTTTCGTGACCAAAATCTTCAATAAACCAACTTTGATTCCAGACCAATGAAAGAGATGCCAAAATGGTGATCCAGTCCTGTGGTGAGAGATTTGCCCAAGTGGTCGCACTTGGGATTGTCAATGTGTCAGGCCAGGAAGCAAATTTACTTCGACGGCATACACCATAGCTCCGCTCGGTACTACTGCTTTGGGCATACCGACTACTGCTTTGAGGATACCGATAAACAGTATTGCAACCATACCCACTGCAAAGTCCGCAACCATGCTCACCCCAATCAGAGTGAAGCCGCACACCGGCTTCCATACAGAACGAATGAAAACTCCAATTCTTCACTTTTTGCAATAACAAAACAAGTTGCGATCGCAACATCTTTTTCATCTCGAAGATGGCACGCTCGGATTCCTTCGTCCACCCAAGCTTGGAAGCCACATCATGATATTTCTCGAGCTCCGTAAATGCGCGTCCGAACGCCTTCGGACTCACATCGGTTTCAAATGCGTCAATCAAGGCTCCGCATTTGAAATTTTCAAAGGCGCCCCAAAAAGCAGTGTGCAGGATGCCCGTGTCGACCCAACCGATCGGTTTCATCCTCTTGAAGACTTCCAAGATTGATGCAGCAATGGCCTTCTCTCCTAAAACTCCGTGTGAAATGCGCGCTAATTCCAGCTCTGTCTGCTTTCTAAGAATGTCTTGTTGCCTTTCGTCGCTGCCTACAAACGATGAAAGGACGGCAAGGAACGTATTGAAGTTGGTATCAGCAAGTCGCTCATCGAGTTCTGCGGGATCTCGAAGGATTTCTGTTACGGCCTCCACTTTTTTATCCATATCCATCTTGGACCATTTACGTCCGAGTTCATCATTCCCTATCTTGTTGAGAAGATCTCGGTGTTTGGCATCCTTCAGATGATCGGTGTCGATTCTCCCGGCCTTTCGATACGTGAAGGCATTTTTCGCTGAGATTGGAATGAATGCAGTGTCAGTTTCATTCGAACCAAAGTAATTGTTTTCGTTATCCTTCGTCTTTCTTTCGTGGGGCATGTACTTGGAGTCAACATGGCCAAATATTTCCATTGTTTTGGTATGGGTCTCGTGCATGAGAGCAATGGCATCTTCGTCGTCCGGATCATCAATTTTGTTCCCGAGAATAATGGTAGGAATATCCTTGGTATTCTGATTGTTCTGTTGGACGAACTTGAGAAGTTCGACTTGTTCTTCTGTGTTGACACCCTTGATGGCATCCATGACAACCACGACACAATCGAACGTATCCCAGTTTGACTCTACGTAGTCCTTATACTTCTTGCTAGCCTCTGCTTCATTAATACCAGGAATATCGATGAGAATCAAATTCGTATCCGGACGCATTTCACAGATTTGGTAATCGACCTGGATATCAAAGGTCTTTTCCTCCACAACGTCGCTGGATCGCAACTTTTTGTTGTCTTCGGAGATCTCTTCGTGCGTCGCGTTCGCTCCTTTCATCACCTTGCAATCATCAAGAGTGGACCATTCTTGTGTCGCGCTTCCTTCGAGGTCTTTCTTTCCTTCGACTTGCGAAGGTTGAGAGATGCGAAAGAGATTGACACCCGCGGTAGTTCGCTTCAAAGAAACTTCGCTGAACCTGTCGCCCAACAAAGCATTGAGGACCGTGGATTTTCCGACGCTGTTAAAGACGAGAGTGATAGAGACGAAGCACATGGCAAGAAAAAAGTAAGATACTTCCATTCACCAGAGATCTTTCCGAACCTTTCTATGTGTATCCAAAACTCGTATTGCTTCCACATGCTTACCTCACATATCCAACGAGTGCTACTCGAATATCGAACTCGTGTGTTTTCATCGTTGCTATTACTTGTTGATTCATCAGTTATGTTAGAGAAAATGTTGCTTTCTGCAGAGCAAGTTTCTATCAAGTTGGAACTAAATTCTACCTGATGGAAATTATGACAAGAAGCTTGGAAAGGAATGCAAGGTCAATCGACAGTCGGATAAGCGAGTGTCGAGAAGCCGTGCAATATGGTAATTCGACCAGCTGGAGATTGATTGGTTCATTGGTTCATTTTACGCTCTTGAAATTTTCCACGGGCCTATCAGTTATGAAATGTTCAACATAGGACAGGAAATATTTGTTCTTTCGCCCAGCCGTCTCCGCCTGCCAGGATTTGGTTGCTTTGAGGTTCTCACGAAAACCGCTATTCTCCGTAGTCCTACAACGGAAAATTGAGGTTTTCTTGTACCCCCATAGAGCCACGCTTTCCTATCGATCGGGAGCAGCTTCTGTTGACATCCTGCGCGGCAACACCCCATATCCTCTCGGGCGATTGGTTTATTCACTCATTCACGGTCGCTCGCGTCATTGATTGATTGATTCACGGTCGCCCGCATCCATAATTGCAATCACTGGTATGATTGGTTTCGATACGCGGGTTCACTAGCCCCCTGCAAGACTTCGCGACGCAGCCATTCGTCGCCGGAAACGAATCTCGGGAGCCCAATTGAAGACGTGCTCATATTTGATAGCGACGCTACGTGACGCGACGAAGACAGCATTTGTAACAGCGGGGCGGTGGCTCTTGGCGGTTCTGGGGTACCCTCTTGCTGCCGCTTCTGTTGGCATTGGCATGCTGTGCTTGTTCGACCTGTAGGATTCGTATGCGGGAAGGCTGGTGATGGGATAGATCATGGAGACAAACCAAGGGGTGAGGGAGCATATCGAATAACAAGGGTAACATGATATTCCCGCGTTGCGAGTAAATCAGTCGCATTCATACACAGAGACAATCCCAAACTCTGATGGGATTTTTTTCAGAAACCGTTCGAAAATCTGAATCTCGTTCTCCTCTCGCGAAAAATGCGCGCTTCGGAACGAAAACGGACGGCGGACGGTCCCGGATTTTGCGCCCCGCGCCTCGCAGCCGAGCGAAGGCACCAGGAGCTGGGTTCGAACCCTGTATCGGTAATACGTAGCGTAATACTGTACGATATCATGTAGAATACCGTACATTACTGTACAGAAACGGTTACCGTAATGTACCGGTAAGTAATCGGACTCTCACCCTGACCTACGGTATACGTACTACCTAGGAGGCACAGGTACAGCACCAGCATTAACTCGTACCGTACTGTACTGTACTTGTTACTCATACTCGTTTACTCGTACTCGTACGTACTCGTACTGTTCCGTTTCGTAATTGTTCTTCGATGTTAGGTTTTCGTTCTACGAGTGTCAGTAGGAATGTACGAGTACCAGATTCCCCAAAGTTACGTACGTACGTACTCGTACTTACTTCCGAGCGTACGGGTGATGTTCGTAGAGCATACCGTACAACATACCGGTACGACAATTACCACTACGATGATACTCGTGGGAATAGTACAGTATGGTGCGTATTCAGTATTACGGTACGGTATTTTCGTTCGTTTGTGATTATTTGTTCCATCCAAATGATTGATTTTCCGTAAGAAAAGTACGAGTATTGGTACAAACTCGTAAACGTCCTTGTCCTCTCGTATCCGTTTCACTTCGCTTTCTGCAATTCCTACGGCAGGCATGGTACAGATTGTACTCATGCAGTGAGAACTCGTCGGAACCCTCTCAAAAAAGTCGAACTTTGCACAAACGTACCATACGATACCCCATCGCATCGAATCGAATCGTTTTCTACCCCGTGCAACCGAGGAACCTAGTGACAAAAAGAGACAAGCGTTTGTATCAAGACCCCACACAGAATAAACAGCACAAAGCCGAGTCAAACAGAGCCGAGCCGAGTCGAGCCGAAACGAGCCACGAGAACAAACAAACGAAGAGCAGAGCAGAGCAGCAGCTAGAGCCAAGAATTGCGCACGCACCGTACACGTACAGAGAGAGAGAGAGAGACTCGCAATGGAACAAACGACCATCACCGAGGTCCGATCCCTCCGGGGCATGTCTGCCCTGGGATTTGCCGCCGCCTTCATCCTCGACGCCGACGAGAGCAGCGGAAGCACCACCGGTGGCACGGGCATGAACATCGGTGGCAACAGCCGCGTTCTGTCACCGGCCCTCCTGACCCCCCAGCAGCAAAGGCAGCTGCTCCGGTTCTCCATGGCGTCCCCGAACGCACACGCACACGCTCACACAGGCGCAAGCACGAATCCAGCCTCCACCAAGCGCTCCCTGGAAACAACGATCGCCACGGACCTCGACGTCGTCCTCGGGCGCAAGAAATCCTGCCCGTCCCGCAAGGAGTTCCGGAGGCTCATCGGGGCCTACGCCCCCGAGTACCAGAGCGCCGGGACCAGCACACCGCGGCGCAACGCCATCGTCGAGGAGATCCGGGACCGATTCCGGAACGGCAACGGCAAGGAACCAAAACGGCGCTTCCTGAGGCCGCTGCCCAAGCAGCAGCAGCCAAAGAGGAAGAAGACCAGCAAGGGGCAGCATCAACAAGAACCACAAGCGGAAGAGCTCTGCGTCGAGCTGGATGAACGGGAATTTGCCACCAAGATCGTAAGTCGGGTTGAGTAGTGTAGTATCAGTGTGGCAGTCCACCTTGTGCCCGCGGTTTACAGTGCTGTTGTGTTCTGTACTGTTGTGGTTTGGTTTGGTTTGAACTGTATTGGATTCGATTCGATTCGATTGGATTGGATTGTGCTCGTATTTTGCCGCTCTGCTTTGCCTTGCTTTCCATGTTTTAGCCAGCATTCCAAGCATTCGTCTTACCCCCACCCTCTCTTTGTATTCTTTGAAATCCAACTGGAACATCGGATACATGCATCACAATACACACTTGCATGTGCACATTGATGTATTTCTACATACCTATGCCATAACGGTACAACACACGAAAATACAACAATCAATACACAAACAAATAACAAACAATATGCAACAACAAAACGAAACGAACCACAGAGACAGGCTTTGAAAGAGAAACGATCTGCAATCAACAAATCCTACAATCTTCCTTCTTCAAAGCCGAACCAACACTCCCCGAAGCGCCGCCATTCCGGATATAATCCTGCGGGCCAGGGTGGCGGCAGCAGTGCAAGCAGCCGGAGCAACCAAAAAACCAGCCAGGGAAAAAGCGGTGCCGGCACACACCGAGACAACAACGGCTTTGGAAGCGAGGAGGAGGAAGACGACCACGATCACTTTGAGATCGGTGACACGGTCTTTGCGGTGGGCCTCACCGGGGACCGAGCGTGCTACGAAGGAAAGAAGGGAACCATTCTCTTTCGAAGGGGTAAAAACAGCAGCGGTGCTGGTAGCGAAGGCAACGACAACGAACCAACCAGGGCGGAGGTGCCGGTGTTCGGGGTGGACTTTGGAGGAAAGGGTGCAAAAAAATTCAACAACGGCACAAAGGACGACACGAACAAAAGCACGACGGTGGTACTGGAGGGGAAGAACCTGGTGCGGTTCCTGGCCATTGGTGCCACCGTCAAGGTGCAAAAACCGGGGAGGGACAACGAGTCGTCGCCGCCGCCACAAGGGAGCCGCGACCCCTCGTGGCGCTGCCACGGGTGGCAGGGAAGCACCGTCTCCTTTGAACTCAATGTCACACCGTCCCGTAGACCACCGAGCAGCGGCAGCAACACCACCGGCAGCAGCCGCCGGTTCGATCTGGTGTACAAGGTGTGGTTCTCCCACTCGAACGAGGTCGTGGAGCTGTCCTCGAAGCGGCTGAGGGCGGTGACAGCGGGGAGCTCGGAGGAAGAAGCAGGAGGCGCAACGAAAAACAAAACAGAAGGGGGGACCGGAGACAGCGGCGACCAGCGCAGAGACTCCGAGGGCGGAAACGGCGACACGGGGAAGGGTCCAAGCAGGGACAGCAAGGGTGACAAAGACAGCAGCAACAATGCGGGGATCAAAACTAGTGCCAACAACAGCGATTCCGATAACAACGATTCCAGCAAAAGCAAAGATAACCAAAATGAAAAGAACTGTGCTAACGACAGCAAAGAAAGCGACAGTGGCGTCACCGACGAAAGCACCGAGGCAAGTCGGAAGCGGCCATCTTCGTCCTCGTCTTCGTCATCGATATCTTCTCCTCCCGCCAAGAAACGATTGCCACCTCGTCCCACGAGCGAAACCACCGAAGCGTTACCGGAAGCATCATCATCAGCAGCAGCAGGAGCAAATGGATCACAAAACAACAGCACAGAAAACAACAGCAATCCCGACAACGACAGTACTAAACAGCGGGATTACGAATTGTACCCCATCGGAACCCGCACCAAAAAGTTTTTCCCTCAGGTCCGAGCCTGGTTCCAGGGAACCATCAAGTCCTACAATCCAGAGAGCGGCTTCTACTCGATCGAATACGAGGACGGAGACAGGGAGGAACTCGAGCACTACGAGGTTGCAACCGGGTTGCTGCCTCCACACAAATACGACATCGGATTCAGCTACCAGATGGAATTGTTTTCAAAAATAGATGGGTCAAACCTTGGCTGGTTCGATGCAACCGTTCAGGGGAAGTGCTACGTCAGCCAGGGTAAGGCACGAGGGTGGCGGTACCAGGTAGTCTATTCGGATGGCGACGAGGAGGACGTTATTGAAAAGCTGCTTACGAAGCGCTTCCGAGAGGCACGCCATCATAAGAACGAAGGCGCGAGCAACGCTATCAAGAAAAATACTGAAGTGAATCCAAACGAGAATATAGATGCAACCACCGAGCGGGGGTTGGAAACGCCCCCAAATAAAGTAGTAGAAGAAAGAGTAAAAAACGACGAAGATTCTTCTTGCTCTTCCTCCTGTGACAAGGACGAGAACGTGGAGGAGGACTTGGACGAGGATGAGGATGATAGCGAGGAGTCCTCATCCAGTGGCAGTGAAGACAATTCAGACCAACCGAACAAGTCACACGAAAAGGTCAAAACGAGAATTCCCCACTGGTCCGGGAAAGAACACGACCGGTTCTTTGTCGGGCTTCTTGAGTACGGATATGGGAATCTAGAAGATATACATGAGGCGGGATGTATACCTTCACGGTCGTTTCGCGAACTGGTGCGGTACTGGAGATGGTTCCGTGCCGATCTAGAACAAAAAGGCATCGACATCGACTTTGATCGCAGGGGAACGGTCAACGGGAAAAAAGGAACAAAGTTCGATCCCGCCGATCTCAAGGAACAATCTAAACCAAGCGAAGACGACCACGAAACTCCTCGGACAGGTCCCTGGAGCGAGTGGGAGAAGCAAGCGGTCGTGAAAGCCTTTGCATTCCACGGATCGTCCTACAAGGAAATGAGCGAATTTATGAAAACACGGACCGCTAACCAGATCGCGAGCTATTGTTGTCACAACAAGGCGAAGATCAAGAAGGAGGTTCAAAAATGCCACGAGCAAGCCTGTAAACAAGCAAATTCCCCTGGGGGCAAACGCGGGTCGCCCACCAGCGAAAATGGGACTAGGAATGGGAACCGTCGTGTCCGCCGGAGGGCAGATGCTGCTGTCGATGAGGCCGACGACAAGGGCTATCGATCCTGGACCTCCGGAGAGCACGAGGCGCTGGTGTCTGCAATGGCGAGTTATGGGCACCAGAACTATGACAAACAATCTTTGTACGTGAAATCACGGTCACCGGATCAAATCCGAAAATACGTTCGTCGGAACACGGATCGGTTGACGAAGGCCGCAAATAGTTTGGCGAGGGAGAATCGCAGACTACAAGCCACCAAGGCGCATTTGTCCAGGCAGTGGTCGGACACGGAATTGGGCCTGCTTGTCGAGGCCCATGCCCTTTATGGAAATGACTGCGAGATGATCTCTGCATACGTTGGGACGCGGTCGGTCGATCAGGTGAAAACTGTTCTTGAAAATTACGAGGACTACGGATTTGATCTTGGATACTATCTGACTTTTCCAGACGAGCTGTACCACGTTCTGAATGTTGCGCCCTTTGAAAACCTAGACCACATATTGTCATGGAGCAGCGATGGCAAATCCTTTCTCATTCACGACGAAGGTAAGAGCCTCTCTTTTCCGTAACGCAGCATGCAAAGTATGCCCCAGCCGTGCGAATCTTCGACTACGATCCACTTGCGCATGAATGTCCAAAAAAGAACACCTCTACTAGTATCCACTCACGTTTCATTGGTTCTCTACTGCGATACGAAACATGTGCATTGTATTGCAATGAATAACCTTGCGATAACATTGTTGTTTGGGGGTTCCTCAGAAAAATTTCGCACTGTTGTGTTTCCGAGGTATTCGCGCAAGGGGACGAGCAGTGATCGATTCTACGGCAGCCTCAAGCGATTTGGATTTAGCAGGGAAGAACCAGATGGTGGTGCGGAGCAATCGGTTGCACAATATTCCCACCCGAGCTTTCGAAGAGGCCAGTACAAGAAAGTGCTCGAGATGCCGCACCAGGTATATTCGTCGAGCATAACGGGAAACAAAGCAAAAACATGATCGGAGCGTTCAGAATCCAAGCGCAAGCGTTTCCATTTTTGAACGACGATGTCTCGGTTCCACGCATTTATTTTACAGTTACTTGCATCTTATAATTTTGAACACCAACGAACAAACATAGTAATAACTAATAACAGCATATTTTCATTCGAATTTAAAGTGATCTTGGATGAACATCAGACTGCAGTCGCAGATCAAATCTTGGTCAAATCTGCAACCATAACTGTTAACCCCAAAGCCAGAAGCTTTAGGACTTTGGACGTATTTTGAATAGATATGATGCATAATAATTCGTCTACTTTCTTTACATGCCCTCCGATCGCCATTTAACTGAATTTTCTCGCCGTTGGGCGTGTATTTTATTTGGTTTGGGTCTCCGTAAGCGACCTCGATATATATATTTTCTAATTTCTGAACGCACCGGCCGGTACAGTATCGTGCAAGACTCGTAATTAATTCATCATGCTACGTGGTTGGCTAAAAGTGAACTGCAATCCCTGTTCACCAATTTTGGCTATTAGGTTGACATATTGGATATTTCGTGTTCACAATGACTCTAGAGACTAGGGCCTATATTACATACTTTTTTTTTAAACATGTCTAATGCTATTGTAGTCATACGGTGGTCGTGCTTGGTTTCTCCGGTCAAAGCATATCACAAGGGGCAATAATGAAACGTTGGATTCTACGTTAGTTCGGTCGCACACAAGTCAAATCAAAGGCACGTACGTACTGTACTGTACGGTACGATACTGCATACTAGAATACGAAGCCCGAACGGAACATTAACCTCATGGCGGATGATGATGCTCCCGTACCGGTCCTTGCACGGGTACTGGCACCATATTCGTAAGCGGAACAAGACAATATTGTTGCTGCGATTCTGATTGCCTAATCGATTGACAATCGACTACATCACCACAATTATCGGTCGATCGGTCAATCGGTCAATCCAAGAACTACTCATTCGATTGTTTGTTTCATTGTCATTGTCAGCATTCATTGTTGAACTCACTAAAGGACGAGCACTATTCAAATTGATTATTTTACAAGTATTACACCTACTCGATCACGTTTTCCAGTACTTATCTCTGTTTTCCTTCGTCCGCACAAGACAGAGCACTTGTCAACCAATAAAGACTTGCGATTTTTACATGGGTACAGAAGATCATGCGTACTGACCTCACTGATCTCGACGACAGCACCAGCATTGAGTTTAGACCTCAGGCCTCCCATGACAATGAAGGCAGCAGCAGCAGCAGTTTCTCGAAACTTCCAGGATGCTCCCTTGTAAAGGCCACGGGAGCCGACGACAATGTCTACAACAACTCGAGCGCTCTTTGGAAGAGCAACCACACGGTGGTCATCGAAGCGGATGATGAAGAAGAAGGATCAGTGGACAAGGACAACAAGGGTGGCAGCGAAAAACAAAGATATGACGAAGACGAGGAAGAGAATGTTTCAAAACCTCCCGGAGAGAAAAAATCGACAAACCAAAAACCCGAAAAAGCTTCTCCGAATTGGTTCCAGAAAATCCTCGGGGAATCCGCCGAGCAAAAGGCAAAGCGCATCGCCGAAGAAAAAGCCATGGCCAAGCAAAATGCTTCGAATTGGGGGAGGGACATTACCGATGACGACGACGACGACGACGATGACAGCAACAACTCTATGGAGGGGGAACAGAACACCAAAACTAGTACGAGCAACAAGGATCACAAATCAATCACGACAGCACAAACCGCTGGTCACACAGTGGCAACAGTAGCCACAATCGGGACGGCCCTGGCAACCTTTTGGGAGCACACCAAGGCCATCTTTGACGATCCCGACGCCGATCCTGAGCTCCGAAAGCTCATAGAAACCATTTCGAGGCTCCGGGCTGCTCGGGCAAGGCAGAATCAGTCCAATTCTTCGAGGATTGACAAGAGTACCCTCACCTCCATCAAGCAGCAGCATCGGGTCTTACAGAGAAAACTGGGAAGGACTGCTTTTCGGTACCGGAGGGACCCATTTGCCGCTTGTATCCGCGAGGTGTACAGACCGGAAATCCTGGAGGTAGTCCACGGCCGAGTCCCCGAGGACGAAGAAAAACGCACCGGGGATGATATCGATCTCGCCCCCGAACAAGACGCGGTTGACAAGCTCCTCGACTCGAACAACTTCGACTACGGATATGCGCCCGAAGACGAAGAAAAAGACAAAGAAAATGCCAGCGATGAAGAAAAGTCGTCACCTGACGACGAAAGCGATGGTCGCGACAACTCGAACCGCAGCGTGGAGCACAGCTCGCTGATCCCCCTCGAAACGAGGTTGCTGCGGGCACAGCACAACGAATGGATGACCCAGAACCAGATGGATCTCGCCCGAAAGGTCCAGAAGGAAGCCATTGAATACCTGTCCCTTGAGCTCCTCCCGGAGCTCAAACAGCAACAAGCAAGCACGAACAAAGACGACGAAGAACAATCAAATGACCACGATTTGTACGCCATGTTTTTGACTCCGGTTGGAGAATGGAAAAGAAAGATCGACGAAGCAAAGGCTTCCAACGAATCGCTCAGGGAGGCCTACAAGGCCCACCTCGCCGCGCAGGAAAAACTCCTGGCGGCGTACAGGGAACAATGCGGCGAAGAAAACGAGATCGACGAGAACGGCAGCGTGGTCCAAGCCAACGAAAACGGAGCCACGGCGATTTCCCCCCTGCCCTCTCCGGTCCTCGACGAGAAGAGAAAGGTCCGACCGGTAAACTGGGCCAAGAACCTGCAAACCTCCGTGCGGTCGCTGCTAGCGCCTCCCAAGCTTGCACCCGAATTAATCACCGACGAAGCCGGCGAAGACACCGGCGACGTCCCGGAATCCATCATCACAACCGGTGGTGGCGACGAAACCGATGAGGAAGGTGGGGAAAGCGACGAGAAAGAGGAAGCACCGCCTTCCCCACCAAAGATCCAATTGTCCATCGGGCGGAGGAGTACGAAGGGTGTTGACAAGGGCGCCCTTCCGGGTCGACTCTCGACGTCGAAGTAAAGCAGCACACCGCATTAGAACGGCGCGCACGACAGGGCCAATCCAGAAGGGATGGAGTAGATGTTGCATAGATGGTGCTATTTTTGTTATTGTTTAGTTCCACGGTTGGAAAATGTTGGATGGATCGTTCATTCGTTCCTCTCGCCTTGCATCGACCGACGAAGAAAGTGAAAGGAATCGAGACACGTCCTATACAAGAAAGTCTGTTGATGGTTTTTCTCTTCGAAAGATATCCCAAACTAGTAATCACCGCAAAGGGGAATATGAATGATATTATTTGTTACGATGAATGTTGTATGTTTGAACTCTAAAATAAGAATGCTAGTAGAAACTCGGTGATCTAGGGGTAAGAATTAACACAGTGGGTACATTTATTAACGGACCATAAGACTATTAGTACAAGCGTGTGACTAGTACTAGGTGATTATCTCGTCGTATTGATTAGTGCATCGTTATTGCATTTTTCTCTGCTTTTGTCCGTGCGAAATGTATGTATGTTCTTTAGTGTGTTACGAATAAACATTGCTGAGGGCACAGCACTCCTCTGTCAAGTGGTAAGGAAATCAAATTTTGTGTCTTTGTTGTTGCTGCTGATGGTGACGAGCTGAGGTAATGATGCTGTTGCTCATAACCTGCCAAATGTATGTATGCTCTTTAGTGTGGTATGAATATGTGTTTACAATAAAGAGTGAGTTGAGTGGTGCTGCTTATTGCTGTCACTCACTATTTACTCGTGATTTACTACGTGGTACTTGTACTGCCTTACAGTCTGAAGTGTTGCTCACTATTTTTGTGAGATGCTTGTGAATCATGATGGGCTCTTTTCAGCAGGGAAGACTAAGCTTAATAACAACTTTGTTTCCGACAGAAAATAGTGCTTTTGAAGGGCACAGAACACAGTACAGTAATATTTAGATTGGTCCCACAGTCAGTTCATCACGGCAGTATGTACAGTTCTGTATTAGTCACCTGCTGAAAAGGGGTACATACTCATTCATTGTTATGACACACCACAAGATGTGAAGTGAGGACTGAAAATTTGGTACCATTTCTGATAGTCTACCGTTCACCATTTTTATTTCACAAAACCTACCAATTCCCTGCAACAGAGGTTTTGTTTCCATACAACTCCTTCAGAAATAGAAATTCCTCAAAAACAATCCTTGATGATTGGAGGAAATTGGTTTTTGAGTACTAAGATGTAGAATTTTTGACAACAGTCCATATTTTAGGATTATATGACAAAAGGTATTTGACCATCGAAGCACAGTCACTCGTTATGTCACATATGTGTTTGTGTTCCCTGTATATTTCTACCATAGAGTGGAAAAGATCAATGATATTCTGGAAGAAGGAACTGCACATCTGGATAACCCATGAAAGATGTAACGTGTTTTCGCATGGTATAATAGCCCAATTGAGGGGAAGCAATCCAGTGTACTGAATGCTTGTAACAAGATTGAAGCAAACACCATCAAAATGGTGTTCATTTTTGTCATGATAACAATCGCCAATAAAGATGGGCATAGTCAAGGTTCCAAAAAGATGTTCTGAGGAAGGAACTGGAGTAGCAACAAAACATTGGAAAAACATTGTTTTTGTTTGCTTATAGTGCAATGGTTTTATATGGGTTTGATTTCACCAAGCACTATACTATCCACCAACATGCCATGTAATCATAGTTTGAGGATTTGTGTGTTTTTTGATATGCGAAAATTGTGTTCTTTGCCTTGCTGATTGCAATGAAAGATGAAGAATCATCCTTGAAAGAAAACTCCATTTTATTTGTCCAGAGCCAGTCTAGGATACTGTTATTTTTTACTGATTGGCACCCAGCAGTTAGGCTTTGTTATGTCTGGATTCTTATTGTACACCTCCTCAACATGCTGTTGGAACGGGGGGTAATGAATGATTATATCTGCTGAATTAACAGAAGGCTTGTACATGCTTTGCAAAACAGCCAAGGGAATTGTTGACAACAACAGTGACCTTCACCTCAGTGGAAAATTCAGGTTTTGTTGCTGTAGTTTTGTCTTACCCCAGTATGTGTTGAAAGCATGGGACTAAACAATGCCTTTTTGTACTAGGTTATGCAATTTACCTCCAGGAGCGAAGTACTCTGATTTGAAGGAAGGACCATGCTTATTCCTGTAGCGATCAAGAGACATTGGGTGCCATTTCCTAACAGTGTATTGAGAAGACATGGGGTTGAGGCAGGTGACAATTATTTCGGTGTTAATAGGGTTGGAAAATCATTGGTATGAATCAATTAAAAATTTAACTGCACTCACGACGACAATGACAATGGATGTTGTGAAAAAGAACGAGCCCATGATGGTAAATGAGGAAAGTAGTAGTAGGTTTCGGGAAATATAAATGAATTAGGTGTTGGATTGGTAGATTTTCAGAAATGGATAATTAAGGTTGCAAGGTAAATGAGGATTGAAAACAAGATTTTCGGAAATTAAAAGTAGAAACAGTAGATTTCTGGAAATGGTACCGTACCACTGAAAATTCATGACAGCTTCAAACGATGTTCTTTACGTAGGACTCTGTAGAAATTGTATCCTGGGGTTCTTCTTCCTTTTCCATCTTGGGAACTGTGTGTAGTGGTGTCAAGTCAGAATCAATAATCTTTGTTTCGCAGGAGAGGGGGATAAAAAATTTTAAATATACTTTGTCACGCTATGCTATGTGTAAAAATGGGGTCGAGTGACCAGCTCGCGCGTAGGGTACCGTACAACCGTACGAGTACTCGTACTTTGTTCCGGGGAGAAAGCTATCAAGGGAAGATTCCATTGTAGGAAAGGAATGTACTCGTACCGATACTGAGACAGAGCGAAGTATGAAGAACAAAATCCCATTCCAAATCACAATCATCGAACACAGGTGAAGAGACATTAGTATTCAAACTCAATAGAAAGAGCAAGAAGCGATCAATCAAACCTTGTGACTAAGTAAACATAGGAACAAAAGAACAAAAGAACGAAAGAACAAAGAACAAGCAAGCAAACAAGCTCACAATAATAACTCAAAAGAACAGCAGGATAACATTCTACTAACCAGCTAACCAGCCAACCATGAGTGAGACTACCAGTACTGAGCCTAAACCCACAGCCGCGATGGCAAAGCGGGGGACCAAGAGCGAGGAGAAGGTCAAGCCCGACACCGATCAAAATCTGTGCACTGCCACAAACAACACAAACGACCAGCCATCGCTCAACAAAAAGAGCGTCCGCTTCGGAAGCGTCTTTGTCCGGCTGTATGGGATAACGATCGGGTGCAACCCGGCTACCTCTCTCGGGGCCTCCGTCTGCCTTACCTGGGACTACGACGAACTCCTCCCGGAGCCGCTGGACACCAGGGAAGGGAAAAAGCCCAAGAGGAAAAAGAACACGTCCCCATCCACTTTCTACCTGTCCTACTACCGCCGCGAGGGCATCCTGAAAAGGGCTGGATTTTCGAAGGAAGACTTTGATCGGCACGAAAAGCTGATCCAGAGAGATCGCTTGAAGCGCAAGATATCGACCTACCAGTGCTATCCGATTCTCTTCGCCAAGAGCTTTGGTTTGAGCAGGGCCCGCCGTAAATCGAGGACATTTGTCAAAAAGTACAGAAAGGAGAAGAGAAACAAGAAGAAGCAAACTATCAACAAACCAAAGGAACAAGCACGGCAATAATCGGAAACATGACKTATTGTGTGATGTACACCCCTCTATTTATTCCTCTATTGCATTCGTAAAGTGTCGAATAGCGCCGAACCGAACCGAGCGAAACCAAACAATAAAACACAAACGGAACAATTTTGGGAATGAATCATTGCTCTCTTTTGCATCACTACTGCATTGTTTGCTGGTTTTGCTTTGTCTGAAGCCATAAACCAACGCAAGCAAGCATGCACGACGGTTGACACAGAGAACACGGTATGTAGCAATGGCATCGATCCGTGTCTCGAACGGCAACCGAGATTCATTTTGTTTTCCATCATCCCGTATCTGCGAGGAAAAGCGACGAAACGAAACACTCGATCCGTCAAAATCCATCTTCCTAAGCGGATTGGGTTGAAATGCATTGTTTTTCATTGCACAACAGCCGCTTCACTCCAAGAGCGAGCGGAACCCAAAGATTTGAGCGAGAGCAAACAAAGTGTGCCGATCCATACTTCCGTCCAATAGCGGCAAGTGGCAAGTAAGTCCATGGTGCTACTTTTACTTTTGAGTGGTATTGAAGCCTGTGCTATCTGGCGACGAATCTCTATGGATCGCCAAGAGGAATGAATCATCCTTTGCATACCACGCAATAAATAGAAAATAAGTGTTGTATTTTTTATTAGTGGTAAGATTTAGTGCGATTGGATTTTGCGTCCGCTCCGCGTTTAGCGTGTATTGTTTTTGTATGTCTTCAAGTTTTTTCCTTTGTGTTTTGTTGTGTAAAAGTAGTATTATATAGTTCTTCGTTTACAATCGTCGCTGCGATTGAAAGCGATGGTTTGTTTTGTTTGTATTATAGTATTGTAATTAGTGAGGAAATAACGGTTTGTGTAGTGGTCACGTTTCCACCACGACGATCTTTTCGTACCGGGTCTATACCTTCTCTCCTCACGACGTTTGCAGTTATCGTTTATACACAATATGCACGTGCGTGGATGTATGATAAGATCATGAATCCAGAGCGATGTGCGTATTGTAATATAGTGTAATACTAATTGCATAGTGCAACGTCTACCACCCGTCGGCGGAATCGTCCCCAAAGTGCTCGTCGCTGTACTTTTGTTCTCTCAGTTCCGTGTCCCGGTCCATGAGGAGCTTGATGTAGCTGATCGCCTTCTCGACGTCGTTGGACTTGCCGACGCAGATCACGTTCTCGGTCGTGCACCAACTCTCGGTGGAGGGCATGTAGACCTCGACGTTGTAGTTCCCGCGGATATGCTTGATTTCCGATCCGCGGGTCCCGATGACACAGTGGAAGAATTCCGTTGGGACGTAGACCTCCTGATGAATGAGCCCCGGATGGGTGATCTCGTGGTGGTGGTACTGGCAGAGGTCTCGGACGACCTGCTTGGCGGCCTTCACGTTGGCGGGGACGTCCCCGGCGATTCCAACTCGGCAAGAAGGTTCCACGTTTCCGATCTAGTGTGTCAGGTCGTAGTTGTTACGAATGGTGTTACGTAGCGGAGGGGCGGAAAACAATTTTGAGTGTTGCGTTGTGTGGCGTTTCGGTATCGGTTTGTATTGTTTGGAGTGACAAACAGCAGAGCAAGCGAAAGATACGGCACGGATGATATATGTGTAGATGAGAAAAAAAATTGTCGTTCCCAAGCACCGCGGATTTCGGAAATGAGAAAAAAGAGGGTGAGGTGACTCGTTCGTCAGATGGAGTAAAATTATAAAGAACGAGCTCTTTATAGCGACTACCATACCATGCTGCAGTAGGACACAAAAATTGAAACGCAAAATGCGGTACAACACAACACAAACGCACCTGCAACGTCTTGGGGTTCCACTCAGTCTTCGGGATCGTGAGCTTCACGTCGAGCGCAGTTTGGATTGCCTTGATGGTCTTGCCCCCAGATCCGACGATTTCCGAAAGGAATCTCGGGTGGACAGACACAGAGGATTCCCCAAAACCCTCGGCCTGTAGCAAGGCTGCGTACCCCCGACTGGCGAGCTCCAGGATGGCCTTCTTGGCCGTCGCCTGGTCCTCGGCGGTTCCTTCCGAGATGACGACGGTAGCCTTGGCTTTGGCGCCCCCAACGACGGGGCGGAACTGGCTACCCCCGGTTTCTGGTTTGTCGGGGGCGTTGACGTCGAGCTTGGTGCCGGTCTTTTCCTGGATGGAGTTCATGGTCGCCCCCTTGGGCCCGATGATGATACCGACGCGGGAGGCATCGATGGTGACGGTGGTCGTCAGAGCGGGTGCCGCCACGGCCTCCTCGGGGGTAGGAGCGGCTTGCTTCTTGGGCCTCTTCTTTCGGGTCTTTTTGGGGATGGTTTCCCATTCTTCCTCGACAACGATGCGGGGCTGGAGCGGAACGACGGCGGGAGCAGCGGGAGTAGGCGTTGGAGCGGGGGCAGGAGCCGGAGCGGGTGCCTTGTTGGCTCCGTTAGCGGCCTTTTTCTTTTTGTTTTTCTTCTTCTTTCCGGCGGCCGGAGCAGGGGCAGGTGCCGGTTCGGAGACTGGTGTGGGTTCCGGAGCGGGCTTCGGTGCGGGAGCCGGTGCGGGAGCCGGTGCGGGTTTTGGCGCAGGGGCTGGTGCGGGGGGCGGTGCCTCGGCCTTCTTCGGGGCGGCGGCCTTCTTTTTGTTCTTTTTGCGGTTCTTCTTCTTGGGAGCAGCGGACTTGGCGCCGTTGCTGGTGCTGGCGGCAGCGGGGGGATCGACGGTGGCGCTCGCCTTGTCGCTGCTGCTAAACCCACCCAGCAAAAAGTAGGTGATTGCGACACCTACGGCGACTGCGGCGATATGCGTTGTGAAATCCGACATGCTGCTTTCGATTCCGATACCAACGGACACACTGACAAACTTTACTGTGCTTTGCTGCGTTTACGTTGCGAACTCTTTTGTCGGCAACCACTACACCAAAATGCCTGCTTTTGGTGATTATTTGTTAAGATTTGTGTGGGAAAGGTACGAGTACTGTAGGGAAAGATGGGTCGGTCATTTCATTGCGATACAAAATACCTGAGAACACGAAGATTGTTTTCGTCACAATCCGATAACATGTTTCGTACAGTGATACGAGTACTGTACTCTAACCCTTGCTTACCGTACGATACGGTACCTGTGGTACAGCAATCCTACACAAGTACAATCCAGTACATTTCTCTACGATGACTTCGGTACATGCACAGCCGTTGATCCTGTTCGTGACCCGAAAGCGCCATGGCATCGGATCCACAAGAGTGAAAAGATCGGAGTTGAGATTCCCGTACGTACCTCGGCAGGTTTTACTATTGGAAAAAATGTTTACGCGACAAAAATCGAAACGATTTCATCAGTCGAGTGTGAACCAATGAGAACAAAGAATGAAGTACATACGAAAATTTATTTCAGTTCCATACTATACCCGCGCCAACATGGCGAACAGTTCAGGAGGACGAGTACGAATTATCCCATTATTTGTACAATTACGAAGTCATACGCATTTTACGTCGTACCGTGGAGTGACTGCTCCTTTCACTCCTTTCACATGTCTGGAAGTCACACGTCAAACAAAATTTGACGGGTGAGGGATGGACGTACCGTACCCAAGACGGCGGGGCAGGGCAATCATTCTTACAAGTAACGGCATGAGGCTAGGGTAGGCGGATGGACGTTTTGGCTTCTTTTTGAAGGTTCATTCATTTCAGGATGGATGATGACGAGGACGGATATTCAGCAAGTCCTACTACTATTAGTACCAGCAGGTATTAAACCATAGTAGTACCATAGTAGCTTTTAGTCTTAGATAGTACTAGTAATACCCCAACCTGCAACGAGAAGGACTTCAGCCACCACTCGCACTCAGCATGCTTACTACTGTACTGGTGACCATGACGGAGGACAAGAAGTAGAACGAAGATGTCAGTATCACTAGTAGTAGAAAAATTGTAATAGTACTAGTACTAGTAGGATCGAAGGAAGGAAGGGACGAGGACACAGTGCGATGGAACAAGAATCATATAAGGTAGGCGACGTCATTGAATTGTTACTATTTCATTCCATGCTATAATAATATAATGCTAAGAGTACAAAAGATATGGAAAAGTTACAGAATTGGCTGTCCTTCCTGCCGCATTCAACGCGATCGCACTGCTCAACCCTATTGGTTGGTAACAGTATGTTGCTTCTTGTTTCGCCTTGCCGGACCTTGTGATGGAAATAAACAGCCTTGCTATTCGCTTTACACACGTGCGATTTGTATTGCAGTGCCTTTACCGGCTTCGACAACACTCCTTTGCTCGATACTGCTGTTACGAGTATGGGGTGCCGCACAGACGTTCGTAGATGTAGATAGAGATGAAGAGTTACCATGAGATTTTGGTGTGTTTGTAGTTCCACGCTGGCTCATATTCGCATGAGTGTCGAACATGGTCATAGGCATGCTGCGCATGCAGTGCGCGTTTGCATTCTTGAAGTGTTCCGCTTGTTCCGAAGTCATGGAGTTGGCCATGTATTGAACGCAAAAGGAGCGCTCGATTCCGGTGCTGGGATCTCTCAGGATAACTTCCATTCCGGGTTGAAGCATGCGTGGAGGTTTCTGTTCGTAATGAGGCAAAAAAGCTGGCGCAACTGCTCCGGGCGGAGGAAAGAAAACCGGAGCTCCCATAGGATTAGGAGCTTGACTGTAAGCAGGTTGAGCATGGAAGTGTTGCCGCTGGGGCGGTGGCAATCCATAGTGCGGAGCGTATTGAGAATGACATTGCACTTCGTGCGGATAGGCCTGAGGATGAGAATGAGAATGAGAATGTGAATGCATGCTATGCTGCTGTTGGTGCTGGTGACGACGATGCTGGTCGTGGAAGGGTAGTGCCGGTGGAGGCTTCGACGAAACAGATTGCCCGCACTGCGTGTTTGTGTTTGCATTGGAATTTGCCGTTTGAAGAAAGGACTGCAATCCATTGGTGGGCGGCATGGTGACAACGCGAGCGACTGCAGGAGGACTGGGAGCAGCTGAAGGAACACTGATGCGCTTGGTCATGGGATGAATCATTGTTGGAGGAGGAACATCAACTTTTGTATTGTTTCTGATAATGTCCTTGGTATCGCTTCCAGGTCTATCCAGAGACAAAGCTTCTAGATGCTCCCTGGTGTTGGGAGATTGCTCTTGATGATGATGCAATGATGATTGGGATCGTGGGGTAACATGGGCGGTCACGGCGTCACTGGTGTTCGTGATTGCAGCGGGTTCCGTAGCAGCACGAGAGTGTGATGGAGTCTGCTCTCTTTCTCGAACCCGAATGTGGTGGTCTTCTTCATCGTAGTCGTCTTCGCTGCCAGACCACGACGAGCAACTCGCGCAGGAGGAAGCTGCGGGAGAGGAACTATTCTTGTCCCGAAAACTGTATTCTTCCCGTTGTGACAGTGCAGATACAGTTAAAGGATGTTCGTGGATCTGATGCTGCGCATTGTCAATAGTACCGGAACTAGGACCTTTATGACTACTCGGAGAAGACACCGAGACCTTTCGGATATGGATTCTATCGCTCATATCGATATCAATGGTGGAATTCTCGTCCCTCTTCTGCTCATGCTCATGTTGATGTGCCTGTCGCTGCTGCTGCTGCTGCTGCTGTGGAGGATACTGTTGGCAGTTGGTTGCATGACGCACAAAGGGAAATCGTTCTCCTCTTGAAGATTGAAATTGTTGATGGTGTTGTGGGTGCCCTGGATGTGAATGATAATGAGGATGAAGAGGCATCTGTGCGATCAGGACGGGAGCAGGAGCAGGAGCACCAAATGCAGATCGAACCGATGCGATTGGCGACGAATAGGGTTGCATATTTTGGCCTTGCTTCATCGCAGCAGCGTTTCTGTGAAAAGTCGGGGGATTAGAAGAGCATTGATGAAAGTTAGTATAGTTGTTCAGCACGCTTCGGTGAAATATGCTTCCTACGCTATGCTCGTCTTCTTGTCTGTCCTTGCGGCGCTTCTCCTTTCGGTATTCGATCATTTCCGTCCGGTAGCGTTCCCGGTCGGCCTCTGCCCGTTCTTCGAGCTTTCGTTTCTCTGAGGCTGGCAGTGCCCTCCAACCCCTGCCGATGATCTTGCCGAGTTCTTCAAAGTTGAATCTTTTCTTCTGTGGCTTTTCTGAGATGGATCCCATCTGATCGTCATCAACGTGTCTGAGTTCCTCCTCCTCCCGTGCAAGACACCGCTTTCGTTCTTCTCGAAAGTATATATTATATGCCGAGAGAGGGCGTTTTGGAGCCCCCTTGTTAGCTGCATTCTTGCACTTGGTCCTGCCTCTGCGCTTGACTCTTTTGCTAGCCACCAGGTGGTCATGTGGTTCCTGCTCCCGCTTATGGTGTAGGTGCTGCTGCTCCCCTTGATGTTCTTCGCTTTCATCAATTACCACGATTGGAGAGTTTGTGGTTGACTTGGCGATCACGTGCACATTCGAGTTACTCTCCTCAATCGTGCTTATGTTCATGTTCGTGTTCGCGTTCGCGTTCGTGTTCGCGTTCGTGTTGGTGTTGGTGTTGGTGTTGGTGTTGGTGTTCGTGTTCTTGTTCACGTTCTTGTTCACGTTCTTGTTCACGTTCGCGTTCGTTTCCTTCTCGTTGGGTACGGGAGATTGCGCAATGACCATTGCAACAGGCGTTGCATTGTCTTCGTTGATATTGTCTTCTTGGCTATTGACTGTATCCGTGTCATCACCATTGTGTTTATAGCCTTGAATTCCTTCTTCCATGAGAAACTCGTCAATATCAAATAACAGTTCTTCATCCTCGTCTGTTCCTTCTATGCTGGTTTGGCAATCTCMTTTGTTATTGTCTTGCCTTACCAGAGGAGGAATCTTCCAATGTGATTGCGACTGAAATTGCGATTGAAATTCAACATGAGATCGAAAGCGAGAGTTTTGCTCCGGGGATACGACTCCAACTTGAGAGGGAGTGGCAGTGTTATAGACGGAATGGACCGGTTGTTGTTGATATTTAGTGTGTTGTTGAGGCGACGCAATTAAAGAGTGCTCCTGAGGCCGTGGCTGAAAACAATCTGAAGAGTTGTCCATGGTGGATGTATGTTGATGACTAGATATGGGCAATATCATGTGTAAAAATTGATTTCCAGTAAAACGAATGAATGCAAGGTTTCGTAGATATATTTATGTATGTTAGGCTTTCAGCATGTGAAAGTGCACACACAATATGAATGACCACAAAATTTGCAGTATCTATGGCGTTGCTTTTTCTATCCTGACTTTGCTGTGAAGGTTGCAGTGCGTACTGAGCTCCCGTGAAAAGCAAACGAGAAACAGTAAACATGTGCACAACAGATGAACCTGCCGAATATCTTGTGTGAAGCTGTAACAACTATTTCACTTCGTGGGAGATTTGCCGCCTTCGAATAGAACAGTATTTTCCGTTGCGTTTCACAAGTCCGTTCTTTTCGTTCCTTTCAATGCGCAAAAACATTCTTTATTGGCATAGAGAAGGTTTACGGTGTCAAGAGGTTCTTGTCAATTTCATGAGACGTTCAGTACAGCCTCTTGTTCTTCGTTGCCACAAGTGTCTAAACAAAAATGATACACATAAATTGAATAATTAGGCAATTATAATTGGTATCTAAATATTGAGTCGTGATCCAGTTGACTTATCAGTCTACAAGGCGAAAATTCCTGAACGCGTGATGGGAAGAGTTTTCACTTATGTCTCGTAATAACGAAGCACGTGCTTTAGAATCAACAACGTGCTTCAGAATCAACAATTTGGACAAAAGAATGAGAGCCATGTGGAGATACCAATAAGATTGTACGAAAAGATCGTTCTCAAACCGTATCGGTTATTACAACGTACTTACTTCTTTCATTCGAACGCGGTGAGCAACTCAATATTTTATCATGGAGCAGTATCTTCCGGGAAATACTGCTCAACGGTTGGATTACACCATCTAGAACGTACGTACACTTTTCTAGTAGAAGTAAAATGGTTCTCCTGTTCTCCAAAGTATCCGTTGTACGACATCAGACAGGTGTTGTGTTTGAAGCTGACTGACTCTCATCGCGCAACGTCAGCACCGAGCTGATGCCATTTCATAATTATTTTTGACAGCTTCAAGCACAACTAGACAAGGCCTTTTCCATGAGCTTCCAGGGACTGACTAATGCTGACAGTCATTCTCACTCCGTTTGTACAAGGTACATAACATACTAGTATATACCAATTTATATGTATGTACCTTTACAATACTATGAAACGTACAAATGGTCAAATGTTACATGATTCCGAAAATACAGGTAAAATGTTTCTGACAGGATACAGGATCGTTTGGTCGTTTGGTCACTAACTAACTGTCACCGTAAAATATGTATAGTATGTACGGTACGTACGAGGAGTGGTTATTTTTGAGTATGTACAAATATGTACTGAATACTGAATTATGTACAGGTTCACCTATATACGTAGTTTATTCCAACTTCGTGATGCAAAACCCTGAATCCAAAAACCACGAAAATCAAAATCGAAAGCCAAAACATAACATGGGTACGTACATACAGAAGCAGGAACCAAAACAACTACAGGAACCGACAACGCAACCATGCAATCCCTCTCTACCGCAACACAATCCTTCCCAATCCCGAGACGATTCGTGACCACCGCGGTAGTGGCACTGGCTGTTGACCCTTGGTGTCACGGTCCTTGTTCCGCGATGGCGTTTTCTCGAGCTCAATATCGGGCCGCGAGCTGCCGCAGCTCCACCACCTTTGGTTCTTTGCGTTCGTTCAAGACGTGCCCGCCCCCTAGGTTCGACGGCTTCAGCGAGCGGCTGGTCGGGGGCTGGACCACAACGCCATATGCGAACGATGATTCATTGGTAGAGGTCGAGGAGGTCATGAGAAGCTGTGGCGGTGCCGTTCAGGGCATCCGAGAACCGTCGATCGGAAGCGGCGACAACGACAACGAATCTGTCAGCAACAGCAACAGTATCTATCTCAACCGTGCCAACGACGGTTTTTGCTTTTTTGGAGACGGATCGTATTCTATGGGGCCACTCGCTTTGGAATCCGGCAGCAACAGCGGTGGTGATTCTATGGGCGAAGGGTTCCTCTCCTGCCTCTGGCTGCCGGTGACCGAAAACGACAACCACAAGCGGCGCATCGTGATCGAGGCAAGCCATTCCGCTTCCCTTCCCAAGGCTGCGGTGCGCACAAGGGGAAGCGTTGGCGATGGCGAATCGTTACCATTAGAATTGTACCGGGCCGAGGGGGTTCCGAAGGTCGAACAAGTTTCAAAGCTGATTCGCTGCCGGATGCCAAGCGAATCCCAGCCATGGATGATCCAGCGCGCCAAATGGGAAGAACTCTCGTCCGGCAGCAATGATCCCGAGGAGGCGGTGATCCTCGAGAAGGACAACGACACCGAAAATAGCGACGAAAACAAAAACAGAAAGAATGACCCTTTTCGATACTGGGTGGCGACCGAATCGGAGGCCGAATTTTGCGACCGCATCAGAATCGAGCTCGGAGATGACCATGACGGACATTGCTTCGTCCATTTTGGTGCCGTTTGTCCGAATACCAACAATCTATGGATGGTGGCGCGAAGATATCGTTCCGGCAGCGACGGTGGCGCTTCTTCGCTCCGTAGCATCCTGTATGTCGAAGGCACCGCGACACCGGAATGATTGGTTCTGGCTGATCGATAGACAAAAATCGAATGGCATAATAACAATAGATAGAATCGAGAGGTTCCCGCCGCCGTTGTCTCGGGATCACAGCTTTTGCCAAAATGCGGTACATTTGTTGTCTTTGGTTGATTCAAACCATATCCGCGAATGTAATCAGATGAAACGCAATAACAAGGAAGCTGAAGCAACACTGGATTCGCCAAAGAAAAGTGAAGGAAAGCAAATAAAATGTATTCAACGCCATGCAAAGCGACACACGGACACCAATGTATCAGCAGGCGGTGACGCGAGAATCACGCGTCATCGCAATAGGTTATGGTATTTGGCTTTTTCCAAGAAATACACATTCGTGTCACTCTGTAAATGCACTGCGACGCAACGCTTTCGAAAATATGCAGCAGCAATTAGAAATTCTACTCGAAGCATCAGGACTCCTAATAACAGTGATGACAGTACTAAAAAATGTTTAGTGTTTGAAGAAACAACAAAAGAAACAGCAGGATCTGTACCAAAACATCCTTCTTGCTGGCATTCCTTTGGATATTCATCGAGAAACACTGCATTGCAAGTTGACGTAACGCAGAGGACCACATGAAATAATTTGGATGCAACACTTTGAAGAAAGTTTGGGAAACGGTAACCTGATGCAGGAAACTGAAAACAACAGGAAGCTTATTTTCCCACCTACGCTCCAATGCTGCTGTCAAAACAATTTTCGAAAGATCGCTCGGCTTACTAGTTCCCGTCTTGGAGATCTAGCCAGCCAAAAACGCTAGTGTCGAGTGTTCTATTACTTGGACAGAGAAAGAAAGTTATATGCACAGCTAGAAGAGTCGAGCAAAAATATTACATTGCGCTATTACTATATGAATTACGAATTTTAATTTACACAACACGCACACACAAACACATATTCTTGGCTACAAGAGCCATCTCTTTCGTTTGTTCGTTGTTTCCTCACAAAGGAGTGGTGAATATTGTTGCATCGTTGTTTTGGAGATGGCCATCATTTGACGCCAGCACCTCGCCTTCAGCTTGGACGGTATACGATCCGATCGGTCCCCCGTTGCCACCGCTTTGGCGGGTGTCCACCTTCAGGACAAAGACGTAGTCGATGCCCCTCACGAGTCGCACAGTGGATTCTGCAGTGGGGACCACGTAGGCACCGGGGGTCACCCCCTCCCGGAAGCACTCGTGGCCCGGATCGGAGACGAACCACCCGACGGAGCGGGCGCTGCTTCCGTCCTGGAAGACAAAGTCGATCGAGACATCGACGTAATCCCCGTGGCTCGCGTTTTTGATAGACTTGCACGTGGGAGGAGAAAGCGACCGCTTGGTCGGAGAAGGAGTCGGGCTGACGGTCGGGTCCTGGGTAGGGCTTGCAGTTGCCTTTGTCGGGCCGGGGGTGGGGGATTGCGTCGGTGGAAGAGTGGTCGGAGCGGGGGTGGGAGAAAACGAAGGGTCCGGAGTGGGGCTCCGCGTTGGCGGTTTGGTGGTGGGGCTTTGGGTGGGGCTCGGCGTTTCCTCGGTGGGACTCGGAGTGGGGTTTGTGGTCGGTTCTGCGGTAGGGCTGGGCGTCGCGATGGTGGGACTCGGGGTGGGGCTCGGCGTCGGGGGTGGGCCACAGGAACACACCAACGACGCCACCAGAAGGACCGAATCGCACTCCCCCCCTTTGTCGATTTTCCCTTCCAATGAGGCATCGAAGAGCTCTTGACAGGTTCTCTGCCCCACCACGGGGACTACGACAACCGCCCCTGGATTGGACGGAACCAGGTACTTGTTGTCGCAAATTGGGCACACGAATTTGTAGTAATCGTCGTCGTCGTCCTCGTCGTCTCCCCAGTAGGACGCAACAGGAACGTTCGTATCGGGTTCTCTCTCGTAATACGTGGGGTAAGGGATCGGGAAGGGATTCGGCTTCTCGGTGGTGGGCATGGGAGTCGGCCGGGGGGAAGGAAACGAGGTCGGTGCGGTGGTTGGGTACGGGCTCGGGGGTGAAGACGTGGGTAGCTCTGTCATCTCGGTACTGCTACCGCTGTAGTACACGCTGTTGTCGAGGGGTGCCGTTCCGGCTTCTTTTTGCTCGCTGCAGTTCCACTCGGGGGGTGGATCATCCGACAGAGAGCATCCCGTGTCGACAATCCATTCTTTGTGGGAACTTACACTCTGACGGTGGTTGTTTTGGTTGCCGCATTCGCCGGGTGCACCGGACACAACCGCCAAGAGCAAATCATCCGTCGACCAATCGCCACCTGCAGTAGTGGTTTTGCTGGCTCCAGTCGCAGCGAAAAAACCGCTCTTGGCAATGGGGCCACCCGAGACTCCTAGGCACGCATCGCTCTCTCCGCCTTCCAAACTGGTGGTGCAAAACCCGTGGTCCGCGGCATCCTTCCCCTTGCAGGCACTGGGGGGAACGTACGAGATGGTTGCTGCCTTGAGGTGATTCCTCGCGAGCTCCATGGCGGCACTTTGAGAGCTTCCAAACCCCAGCACGGTTAGTGGCTCTCCATCTATCGAAGGGTAGCTTTCGTCGAAATTCAAACGGACGGGATCGGCAGCCGACGGTGTGGACGCTTTCACCTTTACAATCATTAGGTCGTATCCATCCGGATGGTTGGCGACCGATTCGATCTGCACCGCAAAGCCAATATACGCCTCTGTGGGAACTCTGTGCGTTTCGGGTTTTGGACGATGGATATATGGATGGGTGGAGAGGACAAAGAGCAAACAAAGACACCACAAATGAGACAATGAATTGATGCGACAGAGCCGGCACCGCAACATGCATGCATAGATTAGATGCATCGACAAATATATACAAACATCGACAAAAACTATATTTGCTTTGGGTCGGTTTCGTGCCGTTTCATTCCGTCCGTTTTGCAAGCAGTTATGTGTCATGCCGTGTCGTGACTCGTTGCCGAAACATGTCGAAGAAAGAAACCACACAGCAAGCTTTGCGTCTCTGTATTTCGTGTCATATTGTGTCACATTCGCTTGACCACTCGGTTTGACTTACCCGCAGCCCGCGGAAGTTAGAAGCAGATCCCTCGCGATGAGTGCGCCGCCGCAGCTGTATCCGCTGTCGGTGCTGTTGCCCAGCCTTGCGAACCAGGGATACCGGATGGACGCCTGGTCCGAGCTCGACCCGTCCACGACGCGGGTCAAAAATGTGTGGGACGATTCGATCCATTCGGTAAAGGACGTCGTCGCCTCTGTTCTCCTCCTTGCCATAGATTTCGACGGTATTGTTGCCGGTGTCCCACTATCGGTTCTGTCATTGTTCTCGTTGAGGAGTGCTCTGTGTCCCTTTCCCCGCCGGAGTCGCTGCTGCTGCCTCTTCGAACCCGCTACGGTTTCTGCGCAAAGCACTATCGAGGACAGAGCCAGCAAGCCAAGGACCAGAGTTGTTTTCATTGCTTGTCTCCTGGGTGGTGTGGGCATCGGAAAAGTCTTTGTCGTTTGCGCTGCGTTTGTTGCGTTGTGCTCTCTTTGTGGAGACTATGACGAATAACGAATTAGTATGCTCTCAGTATCGCGTGGTTGTTGTAACAGTTTTATGGTCTGCACCCACCGATTAGGTTGGTTCCGGATTTCCTTTTGCGATAATGTTTCACTTTAGTACGATTCGATTCGGTTCAATTTGATTCGTCTCGAATTTCTTGTAGTTGATGTGTTTCTTGCGTTCTAGGTTGCGGAAAACTCGACCTAGTCCCGACTGGTGCTGTTTAAAGCGTTTGCCGCAGATTGTTGTCGTGTCAGCACAAGCACACACAAACACACATGCATGCATCGGTTCGGTTCGGTTCCAGTTACTTGGTGTTTGTGCCTGTTCCCCCAATAACGTCGAACCCGGGGTGCCTTCCTCGACAAATACATATTCCGAATTCGGAGGAGCATAGACGAGGTCGGTGGCCAAAAACTACCAAAAATTTCGAATCCATCAAACGAAAACTGCAAATCCTACCTTTGAGTACTGAACTTCGTAGAGCGATACGATGTCCTCTCAACGTCAAGTCGAGTGAGTCAAATTTTGTAAGAGACGCTGCTGTATCCATCCAGTACGTATCTAGGTACAATAAGTATGAAACACATCAAGAGTACTACCTTGTATTTCTTGTTTGAACTTTTGTCCGAAGATACGATCCTTAGTACTACTGTACGTAGCTTCATGGTATGTTACGCGCGCTAGCTAGGGCCATGCGTGTTGCTTGAAATTCACCCCATTGGCGGATTTTGACACCCCGTGTCAAAATGGTCTGTTCATCAGCGATAACGAGAACAAATGTTTTTGTTCATTGGTTTTTGTTGAAAAAGCACATTTCGTTTTCCGTTTTCCTACCGTACGAATCGATACTGATACGACTACGACTTTGTTCGTACTCACACTTGTCCACGCAGGTATTCTTCTGGTATTCTTCTTTCCATCTTACAATACGATTCCAAAAAGCATAGGAACAGATGCACACCATGGACCGCGAAACAGCCCCAATATTCCGACCGTTGTTTGCTATTCTCTGCATCGCTGCCACCGCCGGAGCCTTCTCCCCGGTGACGAGGAACGGTCGCGTGAATATACATGCGAGTGCAAGCGCGTTATCCGGCAACGGTGCCCGGAGCGGGGTGGAACTCTGCGCCGTTCGGCCACGCGGCAACGACAACGTACAGGGGCGGGGAGACTTTCTCGCCAGGCTAGCGGGAGCGGTGGTGGCGACCAGTTCCGCCGCCCTGGGAGCGGAACCCGCGGAGGCCACCGTCCCGCTCTACTACGATCCGTGTGAGTCTCGCTGTTTCGGGTCCGGGTCGACTTTCATCGAACCGAGCTTCGTCGAGTGGAGTTGTATCGAGTCGAGATGCGTCGAGTTTCTCGACCCGGCCAAAGCCAATCGATGCACGGAATTGTGACGACCGGATTGATCGACTCACCAATCCTTGTTTTTTGATTCCCTTATTTGCTTGCTTGTCTGTATTTCGAATGCGTGTTTGTTTCGCTTGCCTTGCTTTGTGGATTCGCTCTTGTGCTTTCATCTCCAGCATCGTCCCTTTATCTCTCGGAGGAAATCAAGACCTTTGATATGTCCATGCCGTCCTACTCTGCCATCAACACGCTCAAAGCCGACGAGAAGGCGCTGGGAATCGAGGGAGCCGAGGAGGCCCCCGTCAAGGGAGCGAAAAAGGCGCCCAAGAAAAAAGCGGAGTCGTCCGGTGGCGACAGCATGCTGTCCTCCGTGCTGCCCTCGATGAACAAGAGCGGTCCCAAGAAGAAATCATCGGCGGACGGCAGCAAGAAAAAGAAGGCACCAAAACCCAAGCCCGAGAAGCAAGCCCCGGAAACAAAGGCGGAGGAATTCGAGACCATGGACTTTTCGCTTCCTTCGTACTCGAAGGAAACGACGGCGAAAGAAAAAGACTTCTTTTCGATCTGACCAGCCAGCCGGGTTGGCTCGGTGGGGACGCATTCGTTCCGTAGGTATCATTATTATTTCATACTGGCAGGGAAATCGTGCATGGAAACTGCAAGCACACTACGTGCGACTTACGTCCCGATTACACAAAGATTTACTAGAATTGTATTGTACACTCTATTACTTTACTATTTCTTCGCTGGTACGTTGGATTGCATGACCTTAGGTCGTGAGGCATGGACTGCGTCGGTGAAGCGCCGTTTCTGCCCTAGGGGTTAGCTCAATGATAGCTTTATTTGTTTCTTTCGCACCGTTCATACTTCGAATGTAATTCGTCGTTGCTGATGCGTGCGAAGATAATACGATGCTGCATGGGGAAAAAGTGGACAACGATGGTAACAACTATTCCCAATACTAATATTTTTGCACTGCGTTGGTGCGCTGTGTATATTAGCCATATATTAGCAAACCCTTTGTTAAATTGGTTTCGGCCCCCTGCCAGGATGCGACAGGACAAATTTGACAAGCCACACTTTTTCCTCGCTACAAGCGATTGTTACTGGAATGGATTGGTTGATTCATCGATTGATTGATTCGTTCAAGTGTTTGCTTGCTTCCTTTCTTTTTTCCTTTGTTGCTTCGTTCGGTACTTGGTACGCACCGTGCGATGCAATGCAATGCAACACAATGCGTTGTGGGTTCGCAGATGGATATCGGTGGCGAATCCTGCAAATCGAATCGAATCGATTCTAATGAAAAATATAAAAACAATCGTTTGCTGCGTGCCTGTCTAAAGTGTGCTCATCATGGACACTTGGGTTTGGCTGCATGCTTGTAAGAAAGTCTACAACTGGCAAAGAACTCTAGACCCACATTGCCAGCATGTCTTGGTGATTCTAGTTTGCAGAAATGCATTGTCTGGTTTGCGCTTGGCCTCGTCAAGATAGTAGATGCGTGTGATGGATCAAACAGGATTGCAGAGACACATAATCCATCCATGCCCATATCAAATGCACGTGCAATTCCACCTCCGACTCCCGTTCCGGATCCAATCCACGTATCTCTGCTCTGCTCTGCTCGCTCCGTTCCGGTTCTGCCCCCTTTGCCGCTTGGTGTCTTCAAAAGGCGAGCGAGAAGCGGCCGCGGCGGAAGAACCGCCGCACGGCGCTTGCCGCCTTGTTCGGATTCGGGTTCGGATTCGGCCGCTCCTGGGGGGCCTGCTTGTACCGCCGCCTCGGCGACCGACCGCTGGTGTCCTCGCTCGGGCCCACGGACCCCGACCGCCTCGACGAGTGGTTCGAGCCGCCGCCGGTTGCCCCGTGGGCCGCGGGGGGACCGGGAGTGGTCCGGCCGGTTCCCATGCTAAGGCTTCGCATCGAGCTCTCGATCTTGGCCGAGTCCTTCCGGAACTGGTTGAGGACGTCCTCGTGCTTCTGGTACTCGTCCAGGACGGCGTTCTGCGCCGATATCGAGTAGCGGGTGACCGAGCCCCTCCGGCGGTACCCGATGCGGCGCTGCATGTGGCCGCTGCTTCCGCTGTGGCTGCTGTGGCTGCTGTGGCTGCCGATCCTGTTCCCGTCGCCGGAAGTGCTCGAGTAGACGCCGATGGAATCGACCGTGGCGACGCTGAGGTTGCCGCTGTGGGTCGAGTGGGGGGGGAGGAAGCGGCGGGACCCCCGCCTCGCGTGCCTCCTCTGGTGGTTGAGGTTGCCCGGGTTTGGGTTCGGCTTTGGATAGTACGGCTCGGGGATGCTGGCGGTCCTTCCGCGCGTGTGGCTTTTGCCGTGGTCGTTGCTGTGGCTGTAGCCGTCGGAAACGGTGGGAGCGGCCTCTCCGTAGCCCAGCTTCCAATGGGAGCAGGCCTCGTCTTCAAAGCAACGGTCCCCGCTGCCACCGCCGGAGGCACCGAGTCCCTGGGCTGAAAGATCGAGGACTCCTTCCTTAAGGACCAGGACCTTGGCGTCCTCGATCATCTCGAGGTCGCAGATTTTGTTCACGATGACCCGGAAGAGATTCTGCTTCTCCATGGGCGACTTTTTCTTGATGGAAAAGAGCTTCATGAGCTTCTTCATCGGGATGCGCTCCCGGCCGTCGGTGGTGATCCCAAAGTCGTTGGGGTGCTGCTGTGCGTACGAGACGATCTCGTTCCGCACGGCTTCCTCCGTCAGGGGCGGTTCCTCCTGCATGGTGGGCTTTGGCGGGGCGTCGCGTCGAGTCGAGTCGAGTAGTGTGGGAGGGAGATTGGTGCGGCGCGATTGCGATGCGATACAATGCGTTTGCTTCGTTTCCTTTCGTATGGTCTGGGTGCGTGTGTTTGTTTTGACTTTCGATGGGTTTGCTTTTTGCTTTTCTTTCCTTCGCACAGTCCGATTGTCTGGTGGAAGATGATTGATTCGAGTATTTTAATTTATGAACGCGCTTCTCCTATAAAAAGCCAGTGTTGGTTGCTAGCATTTCTAGTCGGTAGTCTATGATGGTATGCAAACGTTTGTCGTGGGCATGCAAACACAAATTGTTATTGCTAGTACGGAAGAGTCCCTACTGCTGAGGAGATATGACGTATCGTATTCCAGGCTGGCTGTTTCACCTGTCGGTCTGTACCAGGCAGATATCAAAACACTTAACTCTTATCAATTTATCAATTCGGGTTGTTTCTCTAATCGTGTTGTTGGTTACGTCTCGTTAAGACGATGAACAAACAACATTATTACGGAGGTAGAAGTAGATGTTACTGTACGCTACCTCACGTACTGTTCAGTGCGTAGCGTAGTATTTTCCCCGAGCCAAAGGAGACACGGAGCGTTGAGAGCTCAGTGGATGACTAGGCCCGCCCGTATCGTACCATAATCATAGCTACTAGGGCCTACGGTGGAGTACCGTACGATAAATTCTGGCTTGCACAGTATTGTTTTTACGTTTCTGGTCGTTTCGTCGGAGTGCGTTTCCTCGCACGGCACGAGAGGCAGATGACCCAGTCTGGAAGCACTTCGAAGCCGGGGCGGGGCGAGGGAACACTACGTACCGTACCGAAAATTCCGTACCGTAGTATAGGGCTTCAACTTACTATGAAGTGTTCATACCGGTCCTTGGACGGAAGTGAAGTCTACAGCTTAGTACGAAATACTACCTCATTGCTTTGGCGGGAACAATGTCCAGCAGAGTCATGGGAGTCATAATTGTCAGGTGTATGTGATAATTCTCGTCCGCGAATCTCATTCTTCTGGTCATCTTCAACTTCAATCAGAGTTTTGCGGTACTTCTACTAGTACTCGTACTGTAGATGGAGTAGCCTGGCTCGGTGGCAGTACCGTACGTCCACCGTACGGTACGAGCTAAGAGGATAAGAAGTACAGTATGTTCGTGTCATACGTATCATACTTATCGTACTACGGTACGTATCGGTAAGACAACATAGTAAGGAGGAAGAAGAGATGATCTGCATTTCATTACAACCGTGAAAGAAAAAGTTTTTTCTTCTCTGAACAATAGCGTCACCAACAGCTTGATGTTTTCCAGTTTTCCAACTCCATTCACCAAGTAAGACGTCTTGCATCCTTAGGAGTTCAGTGTTAAACAATCAAGACAAAAATTCCATGGATAGTTACTGCTGGAAGTTGTTGTACGAAAGTAGGAAGCAAAATGAGGTGCTCGAGCTACTGTTGCTTAACAATTCAAGTTCTTTCTCCCCCTCTCCCGACACCAGCAAATAAATGAACCTCAAACAATCTGTAGTACATAGCTCTAATCATAGTAATCTACACCATGCTTAAACCAAACCGGTCTCTACTTCCTTTTAGAACCAAATTTAACACTATTTCTGTCATCATCTTTGCTACGCTGAGTATTCAAAGCACATATGGCTACTGGAAGGGACTTGGAATCTTTGTGGTTCGATTTCTTTCGGTTCGGTTCGGTTCGGTTCGGTTCGATTCGATTCGATTCGATTCCTTAGAGGGTTTCGGCCATCTGCAACGCCGTGTCGACCACCGCGGCCGCCTTTGCCGCAATGGCGTCGGAGGTGCCTGCGGCCGCGGGGCTGGCGCTGACCATGACAAAGGGGCTTCCCCACTCGACCTGGAAGGGGTTCATGACCTCACCGGAGTACGGCTTGGCAATGCTCGCGATTGTGGGAAGAGCACCGGGGATCTTGTCGGCAACAAGGAAGCCGAAGATTCCGAGCATGGCCAGACGACCGTTGTTCTGAAGCGCATCGTTTGCAAGGATATCCATTCATTCATCCATCATCCATTAACCACGCAAGCATGAGTTGAGGGATAAAGCAATGTCAACAAGAATGAATAGTTTAGTTGCGTGTCCCTTGAGGTTAGAACGGACTCGGGCAGTTGCAATCCACCAAACCCACACCTCCGTGGATAGATTCTCGCGCCCGATTCATCTACGGCTCGATGTTGTACTTACGATTTCGACCAGCAATCGTCTTTCGCGCTCGGACTCCTTCATTTTTCCGTTCCACTTAAAGGGATCGTACAAATCGGGGACCCAGTGGACTCCCTTTCGGAATTCGTCAAACGTGGGGTACTTTCCGGGCTGTCGTCCCTTGGTGTAGTGCGGCATGGCCGTGTCTCCGTATCCCCCCATCTCGTCCCAGATCTCGAGAAATCCGATCAGGCCAAAGAGCTGCCACTTGGCATTGATGTCGATCGCGTCCCACTGCTCCTCCGGCTGCAAATCGAAGGAAGGGGGAAGGGTTCCCGCGAGCGACTGGGGCCATGTGAAGACGTAGTTGGACTGAATGCAGTATCCGACAAAGGCGGCCATAGCAACGCGGCCGTGCTTGATTTCGGCCTGTCGGAGGAAGCCGATGGTTGCTTCGTTGGAAGTGTCCCAGAACTCACCCTCCGCAAGGTTCATCGGATCGTAGAAACCAAGGATGGGGTTCAGTTCCTGGGCAAGGACTTCCAGGTCGGCCTTGGTTTCGTGCATTGCCGTTGTGGCGGCTGGTGACGATCGAGCCACAAAGGCGCTTGTGGATCCAACAAAGGCGGTCAAGAGTGCAATGGATTTGTACATGTTGGTTGTAGGTTGGTTTCGTTTGTCTTTTTAAATTGTGAGACAAAAGAATTTGACGGATCCGGTTTGCTGCCGCTAACATTGTTTCCGAACAGGAGTCTAGTACTAGTCTCCGTTTGTTGGGAACTTCAAACTCTCTATTTGTACCGTACATTGGTCCATCGGAAGAGAACAAGAATAGCGAAGAAAGATACCAAACAACAAGATCCTTGTTGAAGATAGAATCGAGTCGAACTCATGCCCTGTGATAAACTGAAGCACACACGACATTTTGTTCAAGCGCAGGATCCAATCGTGTCTTGCGGAGGCTTTCGATCCGCATACATAACCGACGTCACCCTATTCTATTTTGGGAAATCGGTCGAAAACAAACCACTCCGCTCTGATCGTTCCAATAGCAAGAAGTACCGATATGTTACTGGTATGTTACACGGCAAGTTGGCTGTCAGAGTGCTATTTGTTAACAGCTACGGTTGTCATCGCCTTTGCACGCGCATCGAATGTACGTTGCATGCGATTCTATTCGATTCGGAGCGCAAGTGTGAAGTCAGGGAGGAAGACACGGGAAACACCACCAAATTTGTTGTGGAGGATGTGCGCTTGGCATGATTTGTTCTCTGTGAAATTAATGTCGCTTAGATTGACGAAAGGACGAATTTGTACTGGTAGTGTCCAGTTGCGGTACGGTACAATTTGTCGGAGAAGCGAAACCAATCTTGATGCAGAAACAAAAGTGCTGCGAATTCATCCTACGTACGGTTTGGCACAATCGCACTCAAATCGGACGAGATACGGTACAGGAGGTAAGCACGCGTGTGTGTCGTGGCATGCGCGAGTGTCATGCTCTCGTGGTTGACGATACCATTCCATACTACCGGTACCGTACGGTACGCGTAAAATAACAATTGAAACTACGTTACTGAGGCGTTGGGAACGTTAATTTAACATTCCGAATGTATGACTACAAGTACGGTATCGTACCCTACCCAACACAAAGAAATTTAGAATAGCAGGAAGTTTTGGGGGAACAAAAGAAGGAAATTTTTGTCTGTTCTATCTTCGTTGGTTCTCAGAGTATCGTCCTTCCATCTACCCAATAACTACTAAAGATCACGTCATAGCTCTGACTCACTCGCCGAAGGCATCTTTATTGCATACGGTAGAGACAGGAGAGCCACGAACCAAAAATCAGAACTAAAAAAAAATATCGCTCTGAGCTGCCGTACCGTACGATACTTCGTTAACGAGTACGACTACGGTGTACTTCTTCTACGACCTTCATTGTACTAGAAGCGGATTCTTCGATTGGCGATCCGACTGATTGCGATGACGTCACGTGAGAACTTCGAATCGCTCTTGCGGAGGGGTCGGGTTCGACTCCGTGTCTTCCTTTCTATTCAAGTGAAGTTTGTTTCTATTACCTGCAGGTGGAACAGTTGCCATCTGCTTTTGACACGCCCCGTACAGGCTGAAAGCAAAGCCCCTACATTGTTCTCAATCCCAAACAAGAGTTTCTCGCCAAACTTCACTCACATATTCGAGCGCCACCTATGTTAGGTTGTCAACTCGTTAAGGAAGGCCAAAGCATCCTTCCTAATCACGGGAGAGACATTGAGGTCCATATTGGCAGCCATATCCTTGGCTGAAAACGGAAGTCGAAGGAATAGATTCTGCTCATGCACGTTGTGTGATGATGGGGCTGACGTACTACCCAACATTAATTGGCATGGGAGGTACGCAACGAATTGTTCTTCACTGCACTAAATCACCTGAATTTTAGGTCTCGAGAAAAGCATCAACAAGGATGATGTGAGACAGTGATTGGAAGCGAGCAATGAGCGATTGCTTTGAAAGATGGATCTTTCGTAGCGACCGGATGGAAACGATGGATGTCTATCTTAGTTTGAAGAGAGTTTAAAATGAAGTATTTCAATCTATTAAAATTGCCAAGGGTTTTACTAAGTGTTTCAGTAGATTGTGAAAATTGTAGCGAGCAAAAAAAATCTGTATCAAAAATAGTGATCTTGGGTGATCAAATAGCAGAGGAGTGTAGTGTGGTAGTGGATAGCAAATGATGGGAATGAAAAATTCAAACCCTTCAGAGCTCGAGATCAAAAATTCCTTCGTCTTCGTCATAGTCGTCAACGCTTTCCGCAGGATGAAGTTGGTAGTGAGCGCTATGGCTGCTGCTATCTAGAGGCATCGATGGTACTTCGTTTAGGAAATTATCGAGCAAGACGTGGCGATCCATTCTAGTGGGTGTAACAATCTTCAGGTCTTGGAAAGTATTTTGTGTGCGATAGTAATGGATAGTGCTGGAGTGATGAAGATCGTCATCAATGAATTTCTCCCCTTCATTTTGTTCGTGGCGCGATCTTACGATGTTATCAATGAGAATTTCGTTGGCGGACTTCAGGTATGAACCGTCCTGAAGCAGAGAGTTCTGTTGCGAGATGCCGTTCACAACTCTCGAAAAGAAGACGAAGTCTTTGTAGTCTGCCTCAGCTTCGTCTTGTGCCATTCTGTGTTCGCTAGATGTCTTTCTCATGGACTTGCGATTGATAGGAATCGAGGCAGAACCTTTTCTCTTGGCGAAGGGCATGCTTGTAGAAGGAGGGTATGAGTGCCGATGGCTGCAATTACTGAATGGAAAGTGAACGTGGAGAGCATCGTCTGTCATCGTTGGATTAGGTGTGGTTTCGTTGTACATCCTCAGCTTTGTTGGTTGATGGTTTGCGTGTTTCACAAAAAGTGTTCGTTGATTGTTGTCGTTCCTTCCGTAAATTGTGGTGAGGTTGAGGATGTTTTCGTCTAGACTAGGTTTTGTTACCTACGGCGTGCCTGTGGTTGTTGCTTAAATAACATTTCATATTATTTCCTAGTAAATGTGTAAATCAACTGAAAGAAAGAAAGTATTCTGTTCTTTTTTTAGAAACGGCACTTTTCACGGGAATGAATACGGTCCAGTCATAGGTGACACTATCACCGCCTTACGGTCCAGAGCGATGATTCCTCGAAATTCATTTTTTAGTCATACCTGCACTGTACTGTACAGCCAGTAATAAATTACGCAGCACTATTTTTTGACACTCGTGTGAATGAATTTGGTGGCTGTCAGAAATAGCGCGTCTTTGGAGAGGAGTTTTGAATCGCTCTGAACCAAAACTTCTCTAGAAAACCCAAGAACGAAAGAGGAAAAATAAAGCAGTAAATGCAATCATCGAATACTCGTTTTTGTACGCAATACTGATACTTGGCCCTGTCGAAAATAATCTCAATAGAAATAGAACGTGCAGAGTTAGAGATCAGGAGCAAGTGAAGCCCGTTAAGTACCATGTTTCGATTAACGCGATCTTTCATAGGAGACAAGTTTCAAACCAATAGAAACACTGAGAATTGTCACGTGTCGGAAAGAAGGTACAGTAGCAGGGGACCATACCGTACGGGTAGGATAAGGTTCAGGGAACCAATACATAGAAAAAAAACTCTTTCAATAAATTCAGAACATAACCGCGAATCAAAAGCGAACGAACAAATCTGTATGGATTTTTGTCTCTCTGTCAAAAAAGAATTCACTGAGCTCATAACCCATTGATTCGAATTTCGATGAATCATAGAAAAATGAGATCAGTGTCAGAATTATGATTGGTTCAAGACACACGAAACCAGCTGGTGGCCAGATCTGATAGAGCGTGTCGAGCATAAGGCTACCTGGCCTAGAGCGAAAATCAGCTCGGAGTGCTACTCCGAGGAACAGACATTAGAGCATAGATCGACCAGTCATTTTGCAGATCTGAGGCTCGCCACAAATTCGCCAACCAATAGGATGTCAAAGGAACAATGCGTTCGCCAACCATATTACTATTAAATTTAAGGAATGTTGGCAACCACTTGACACTTTCGGTGCCCTCCCCAACCAATTGAATTCCGATTGAGTGGGCGTGAAGCAGTTTTAACAAATATCCCTCAACTTCAATGAGTTTTTCTCTCTCAAGGTGAACGAAAAAGCCAATTTACAAGCAAGAGTTTGTTTGGGTTATTAATAGTGAACAGAAAATCGAAAATAATGCTAATTGTTGTCAGATAATACAAACGGCAAAATAGTGGTCTAGTTTCATTTATGTTGTGGATGGATAGCCGTTTTAGCGGTGCGGTGGTGTAGCTTGTTCGATTGTTTTCGACGTAAAATTGTGTATATTGGTCTTGTGTTTCAAAATTAGTGCAAGACGTGTGTGGTTAGCGTTCCCTAGATGCTCGCGTAGCATACGATGTCCGAGCAGCGTCGGTTAGATTCATCATAGCTCGAGATCAAAGATGAACTCGTCCTCCCCAGAGTCAAAATCGTCCCCGTCACCTTCAAAATCTCGTTGGTACGCAAAGGACGAAGTAGAAGAGGAAGAGCAGGAAGACTCGTAGCAACCATCCAAGTTCTCGAGACAGTTCTCATTAGAAGTGCTGTCATAAATCTCTTTTGGTTCTCGATCTTGTTCTTGATATCTCGTTTGCATAATGTGCGTCAGGCAACGCTCCGTCTCTTCGTTGTATTGCTGGTAGAGTTGGGGTTGGTTATCATCGCCGTTTTTACTCGTGTTTACACGGAGCGTGCGCTCTCGGATGCCTCTAATAAGGCGGGCGTAAAAGACGAAATCGCGTTCGTCCGCCATTTGCTCGTCCATGGAGAGCTGGAGTTCCGAAGGGGATCGAAACATTGCATGGGGGATAGGAACAGAGCTACTCGAAGGTCGGCGTCTCCTGTGCGAGGAAGATGTATCCTTGGTGCAGGAACTGAACATTACTCCCTTCTTGTTGCTGGGACCCTCGCGCGGATGACCGGGAGTGTATGGGGTGGGCTTGATGGTGGAACCAAGCATTGTTTGTTGGTAGATCATCATGTTGGGAATACAATTGTGTGGTGTGGAAACCCAATGAGACGGTGTTACAATGGAGATTTGGATGTTTTCGCGGTGACTATTGAGGAATTTGTGGCGGAGAGCTAAATTATGATGTGAATGACAATTCAAGGGATGATGCGTTGTGGTGGAGATTCGACATTCATTTCACGAATAAAGTTAGTTATGAGAAACCTGGTTTTGGTAAGAATGAACGACGTGAAAGCGCTCGAAATGAAAAAGGACACAAATTTCCGACGAGAACCAAGGAAGCAAATAAGACACAGGTTTGGACGGCTCTGATCCAAACGTCCATGACAGAACTGTGCAATTCGTGTGTTCTCTGGTGATTCACTCATTCTTCAAGCAATATTATTATGTACTAAAGGAAAAGACCCTCGTAGTAATTTTCGATGACACAGAACACAGAGACGTTCTTTTCTGAAACTATTAAATGAAATATTGTAGAGCACGAGGGGATTGTCTTCGTTTCACTAAGTAGTAATCTCCTTAAATCTGACAGATACAAAGATTTGTTAATTAATATTTTCCTATCAGAAGTGACGTCTGTTAAAAGCATAGCAGAGTATAGTATATATAGCAAGTGCAATTCTCTAAAGAACATGTTCGGTGAAGTTTGATATTCTTTTTTCGCATCTATCTTCAATACGTCTGGACATCTTCCGTCTGAAACCTTCCTGAGAGCCAAAGAAAAATGGGAGAAATGTTTCGGGTTGAACGAGTATTCGTATTCTTCTTGGATTTTTCGTGAAAATTCTTCCTTCTTGACACGTCAAGAAGAGTTCTTCATGGCCTCGAAGTGTTCCGACTGTACAATTCTTTTGACACCTGCCACACCCACGCATGTCGTGCCTGTCAATTACTACGGCAAACTTCTTCATAGTAGCAAGAAGAATGTTCTGATGATATTTTTTTCTTTTGATGGTGTTACTCACAAGCACAAAGCAACCACTGAAATATCACTTTGTTGGAAATCCACAATGGTAGGAAGCAGTGAGGAATGGGGGGGGGGTGTTAAGAATGCAATTCTGCAAACAAGCCTCGTCCGAGAACTGTTTCTCGACCCACCTCAAGGTTGTATATTTTCGTATTCCGTACCTGTCTGTACCACCATTTTGTTAGGGAAAATAACACGGTATGAAAAATTCCTAACCCGACTCACTACTACCTTCATTTTATATTATATTTTTTTTTAATTTTTCTGTACCCCGTCACTGGAAATAAGAATCTCACCAATAGTAACAAATATTCCGCTTGCTCGTTGTTTATATTTTTTGCTCAGTTTTTTTTTAATTCCAGGGTGTCGTGACTGGAATAAATTGTTTGGTTTGAAATCTTGAATGTGTTGTGACTGGAATAAATTGTTCAGTTCGAAATCTTGAGGGTGTGGTGACTGGAATAAAAAATTTTATTTCGAAATTCTTGAGGTGCAGCATGACTGGAATAATATTTTTGTTTTTAATTTTCAAAGTTCATACGTACGGGAAATAAGTTCATTCAGTTTTCGAAATCTTAAGTTGCCCACTGGAATAAACAGTTCCGGTTCAGATTCTGAAGGGTCGGTTTTTTATTTTCTGTAATTAAAATCAAAGAATCCAATGCCCAACCAATGTGATTCTTATATATATATATGGATTATGTTAACTTCACTACTTATTACTGCTAACAGTACTAACGAAAAAATCGTTACCACCACACATTCTAGACCCCTTCAAAAGGAAGGTTGCCCTTTCGATGATACTGCTCCAACTTTTCTCGAATAGAAGGACAAATGAAATCATCGTAATCATCATCATCATCATCATCATCATCATCATCATCCAATACACGTCCCTTGCTGCCATTAGGATTTCCCACTGATATGCCTGCTTCAAGTAGAAACCTTTCCTTGAGTTTATTTTCAAAGTCCTTTCCCGTTTCTGGGCATTTGCGTAGTAATTCAACCTTTCGGCACAAATAGCTATATAGTTTTCTTCCTTGCTTGTGCCACCCTTCCTTTTTCCCACTTGATGGATCACAATATCTTTTTGCTGTAATTTTTGGAATGTCCTTACCTAGCACCTTTATGTCAATATTGTTCTGCCAAAGATGAAATTCGTTGTGAAGGAATAGTAGAGTGAAAGCCTCATCTGTCACGGTGAATATTTCACTAAGCAAATTCTTTGCCTGCCTTTTCTTGAAGTCGGTTCTGCCCGGGCTGACGGATGCCATTATTCGGGTCACAAAATAATAAAACTCCGGTGCCACAAATCCATCATCACCAAGCCGCCTGTACCCACTGGGAATGCTCCAACCTCCCGTGCCCACATCTACTGTACCATCATCATTATCTTCAACCAGTGCAACTGTCCGTGGAAAACCATCTGGTACAAGACCACCCTTGGTGTAATCAGCTATAAATAGGTTTAGGAAAAGCCAAGCAGAAGAACACGAACAAGCAGTTAGGGGGAGTGCTGCATTGGTTTCCGAGATTTCCCAGCATTACGTCACAGCATTCTTGATCTTACTTAGATACTTCTTCCTTGCATAGTTTTGGATATTTCCACGGAGTGTTGTTAAGGATCTTGGAATTTGGCCTTCCAACCACCGTCTAAAATCAGTTTTCGACATCTCCTTTGGCTGGGCAACAGAATTTTGGTCAACAATATCCTGGACAATCATTGGGATGACTTTGTCATTTGGAAACTTGAGGCTCGCATACCAACTATTCTTCACATATACCAATACCTGTGTAGACACCTCACCCTTCAGTACTTCAGTCAGTCCTGTGCTAAACCTCTTTCCGGATTGGTACCTGATGGCTGAGACATTGCTGCTAGTGCCAGTGTGTGGAGTTATAGTACTGATGCTGTCCATTGGAGGTCCAGAATTTTTTTTTCTCTTAAGAACTGATGATACCCTTTAATTTCCTCTGGATCAGTTATGACTATAGTGTTATCCATGGATTCGTAATTGGAATCTTCTTTGTCCTCGTCATAGTCCATGTCGTTGTYGTTGCCATAGTCAATGTSGTTGCYGTCCTTTTCCTTGTCCTCTTSACCATTTTTAGACTCACCTGTCAYTGTAGCATTGCTGGAAATGTTTTCTTTGTTGTTCCTCCTCTTCTTCTCCTCACCACCTGTGCTGCTGGTTGTACCTCCTAATCTTGGGACTTGTTTCTTCGTTYGCTTTGTGGCTCTACCACTTTTTGTAGAATTTTTCACTATCCGTTTGTTTCCTCCCACCTTTTTGTCCTTGCTATGACTAGTATTATCAACACTGGTAGTAGCAGCAGCATCAGTATTAGTAGTCTTTGTGGTTGTGCTGTTCTTGTTAGCACTCTGTCTGGTAAGGCCATTCATACTATTCGAGACTGTTCAGCACAGAACATTTTGGTTTGGTTTGATTTTGGTCTCAACAGAAAAAGAAAATTATGTCACAAAAAAAGATGGTGTCAAGCCGTGGCTGATTACATATGATTTCTCTACGAGAAGATCTGGTTGTTGACAAAATGTCAACTGTCAGGTTTTATTTTTAGTCCATGATATGATGTAAGAAACAAACAGGCAAGGCCGCGCCGTTTTTTTCATCCTTGTTTTCCATATCTGCTAGAATTATGTACCTGGTACTGCTGTTGGTGTTTTGTTGGAGCAGCTCCTCATACTAATATTACTAGTAGGAACTACCACCACTATTACAGTAATAGTTCCATGGGTATCACAACTCGTTAGTAGCAATATTATTGATAATACTAGTAATATGTAACATACCTATGTTGTCATCAACCCAATCTTTTTTGGATTCAGATGGGTATGGTACGAGTACTGGTACCGGTACCAGTAGATGAGAAGACATAAATTTTTCCCAAATATTCGGCGATGGACATACTCAGATGACATCGTTGATGATACCTGCATGACCATAGACCAAACGAACGAAATCAATGATTGAACTCAACGATTACTTCYCGCATTTTGACATCAAGATGAAATCATCGAACGACATCATCAAACGACATCAAATATTACTTCCGCCTGGAATAAGAGCACTTCTTGACATGATAGAGGAGACCAATTTTGCCTTGTTCCGACGACGTCCTTTCACAATGTTTGGATGACATCCCTATCTGAAAAACCAATCCTTGACACCACAAAACCACGTTCGAAAACAACATCGATTATCCATACCATTACTTCCCGCATTTTGACATCAAGATGAAATCATCGAACGACATCATCAAACGACATCAAATGTTTCTTCCCGCACTTTTTGCCATGTTCCCAACGTCCTTTCACAACATCCTTTCACGACGTCCTTTCACGATGTTTGGATGACGTCCCTATCTGAAAAACCAATCCTTGACACCACAAAACCACGTTCGAAAACGACATCAATTATCCATACCATTACTTCCCGCATTTTGACATCAAGATGAAATCATCGAACAACATCATCAAATGACATCAAATGTTTCTTCCGCCTGGAATAATGGCACTTCTCAACAGAACAATTTTTCCCTACGACGTCCTTTCACGACGTCCTCAGACGACGTCCTCCCACAACGTCCTCAGACGAAGTCCCTATCTGACCTTGACACTCAACTTCCAAAGACGACGATCGAAAACGACGTCGACATTCCATGCCGCAGCAAAAACGCCCGCATTTTCAACCCATCTTTTCCAGCCCTTGTTGACACCAAAAAACGACGATCAAAAACGACGTCGAGAATCCATACCACACGACGACAACAAAAAACAACTGTGGAGTTCCCGCATTTTCACCCMATCAAATGACGTCAAATGTTGCTTCCGTTCCGGAAAAAAGCCAGTCCTTGTTGATGTCACAAAACGACGTCGTTTTCAACCCCCATCAAATGACGTCAAAAGGCACTTGTTGACACCAGACAACGACATCGACAATCCATACCGCAGTTCCCACATTTTCACCCCATCAAATGATGTCAAATTTCGCTATTGCTCTGGAATGTTGATGCCAGAAGATAGTTGATGCCAGAAGACAACGATCGAAAACAACACCAACAATCCATACGGCACGACGACATCAATAAATGGCGTCCCTTATTGATTTCGACAGATGAAATCATAAATTTATTTTCGTCATGAATCCAAAAGGAGAAGAAAAAGCCAAAACTATCTACCTTCGCTTTGCGGAAAAGCTGTTCCCTGCATTTCA